GCGATTCAAAGAATTGCATTTACCATATACCCTGCGAGTGCGGAGAATCATACATCGGTGAAACTAAGAGGCCATTGAAAGTTTGCATTGCTGAGCACAAGAAACATACACAGCGAGGAGAAACCAGCAAACCCGGAATAGCAGAGCATGTTTGGACTCATCAACACATCAAGTGGGCTCAAGCTGAATTCATCCACAAAGAGGAACACTGGTTTAGGAGAAAATTCAAAGAAGCCGCGTATATGTTGTCCAGTCCAACAACGCATATAGTCAAGCTAGCGTAGAGATACGTAACATATGGACACCTCTAATCAAGCGAAAAACGAGAAGAGAAGAGGGGATAGGTGAAAGCACTGGAATGACCTATAAATAGTCAGATCTCGGAGGTATAAGTCCAGTTATCACCCGAAGACGATTGTGGATACTAACAATCGAAACGTTGTGACATAACTTGGTTTGAAATCTTTCAATTTTTTCATTTTTTGTTAGTAATATTTTTAATTTTTTCAATTTTTTTCAGCTTTTATTAATATTTTAATTTTTATTCGTTTGATGTTGTTGTATGTTATTTATTTGTAATTTCAGTTTTTTTTGTTTAATAAAATTGTTATTTTCGGTGTATCTTTTTGATTTTTTTCAGGGTTATCAAATCCATTTATATTTTATTAGACAATGGAAGTCCGAACTGATGAAATACACCACGAAACATTGTCAACCATCTTCAAAAAAACTTTGTACTGGGTGCCAGTGCATTTAGGAATCACAGGTAATGATAAAGCTGATGAATGCTCTAGACACGGATTATCACCTTCATATATCGGTGCTGAACCAGCTCTGGGGGTACCAAAATCATTGGTACGAAACCAGATTAGGACACAGAGTACTGGACCTGGCAACAAACACAGTAGAACCTTCATTAGGGAACCGTCCGAGAAAAGAACCGAAAAACTACTTCAATATAGTAGGAATCGGCTCAGAATAATTACAGGGTTACTAACCGGTCATTGTTCGCTTAGAGGACACCTGAATTTAATGGGGCTGTACAACGGAGACCTCAGCTGCAGATGCAACAAAGGGATAGGAACACATCTTATGCGAATGTGAGGCACTGAATCACAGGAGGCAGGCAATATATGCACGTACGAAATTACGTCCAGAAGAATATGACGTACATCCAACACGGAACCTGTGCAAACTAGTACAGGGAACGAGACTGACGGATTGGGTGTTATGAGAAGATGGGAGAACAAACGCAATAAGCCCAAGAGGCTGCAGTGTTTTTTTGAAACTTGGATTAAATGGACAAGTCAGACAGCTCCAAAGGGATCAAACAAAAAGTATGAGTTATGAGAATAGTGACTTATTAACCAATAAACTGTCTTGTATGCTTTTAGTCATAGTAACATTATTTTTTCAATTGCGACTGTTTCAAATTCAATTAAGGATAAATTACGATTACAAGTCAGTTGAAAAAATTGAGACGCTGATAAAAAATTGAATTTACCAGTTAGAGATGTTTTTAAAATGTTATTTTTCCACTTACCCCCAAATAATACTAGTGAATTTGTTGCTCTGGTAATGGAATGAGTGGTTTCAAAACTATTTTTCAGGTTTTATACATTTCAATCTTCAAAAATAATGAAGTTTGACCAAGAAATTGGTCTGTATTTTCATTTTTGACAACGAAAGATAACATTTCAATGGTTGATTGAATCGAAATTGGTAAACAAACTAGGTACTCTTCGCATAACTAGACAATCAACAGAATCAGTCTAGTGGGAATGATAAAAAGTTTTTTAGACCAACTGTAGGTAGCGGTTGGAACAGCGTGGGCCGAATTCCTTTCACACTCGAGATTTCTCAACCTTCCTGTACAAGAAAAAAACAATGCAAACAAAACCACATGCTGAGCCGCCATCGAATGAAATAACCTAGTTAATAATTTCAATGTCGCAGTTCATTCATTCTCGAATGCCAACTTTCCCGGTGATTGCACTTGACCTCTTTATAGTCTAAATGGAAGACAAAAACTATAGGAAATATCCTCACAGGAAAACGTAATTTAAAAAAAATGAACTGTTTACCCATATTTTTATACATTCAACTTCCCCTCCGAATTCTCCGTCCACTGAAACACCAACAGATCTTCGAAAATCTGTCGCCATATTTCAAGAACAAAAACCTATCAATTGTTTCTTGTGATAAGCGAATTACACTACGGCCTTGGGAGATACAGGACTGCGATTCGTATTTGCGACTGGACACTTTTGAACTACCGCTTTTGGATCTGAGCAGGACCGGCTTCAGACTAGACGGCGCGATAAATGTTGACATTTTTGTTGAACGAGTTGCATATCCTTTCGACTTGATGTAGTATGATCTGTCCACATTTGCCTGCATAATTTAGTCGAGAACAATTATCACTTGCTGCTTCACAAATTAAAATAAAAACGGAAATTTTACAGAAAAAGGCACTTCAAATAATTAAAACAGTTTTTCAGGCTCAAAAACGTGCCAATCTTACAAAAATAATTAAGTGTTGTAAGCAGAGGGAAAATCATCATTTCATAACACGGCTGTCAAATTGTTTTCATGAACATTTATTTATTTTGGCGCATTTTTCTTCGAATTATCTCGCTACTCTCTCTGAAAACGATCCTAAGATTTTTTCACGGTGAAAAGTGGATTTATCGAGGCACATTGTCTTAGGGTGGTCATCATTTTTGCAACAATAAAAAATAACAAACCTCCATTTGAGTCACAGTGATCATACGACAACGGAGTCTGAAACACATTATATATCCATTTTTAAAGTATACTACGAGTTGTATTAGGCCAGACAGCTTTAAAGAATGGTCAACGTCTGTATTGAAATATGTTCTATTTTGGCTACCACTTTGTAGATCCATTACTTGGTACCTGAAATATCTCCGCCCAAAAGACTGTATAGTTCCTCCCCAGCATACTGAAGAAGTGGTAAAAGTTGCAGCTCTTCCACACGTTGTCGCGGCTTGGTCCAGGACCATAAGAGCAGAAATTGAAGTATTCTTCTCAAGTTAGAGGCCGATGAATTCAGCTTGGTTTTCGACACTGAATGAGGTGATTACAACTCTGTTTCCAAGCTTAGCAAAAAGCTCATATCAAAGCCGACTTCAATCAACGCCTGGCAAATTAACACCGCCGTCCTATCGCTTTCCAAATTGGCAAGACAGAATACTGCCTTCACGGCCACTGCACACTTCGGAAGAAATCTGTAGAGCTTCAGCAGCCTGGGCAACCCGATAACCCCGGATGGCGTACGAAAAACCTTTGTTACTCCTGCCCCAGAAAGGCCGAACAACCATTGGACTGGAACAAAAGCAATAGGCTCCGGATAGGTTTGTCTAAAGGCAGACCGTTATCATCTCCATAAACAAAGATTTGTTAAATCCAAAGAAATGCAGGCCCACAACATGCTTGTTGTGTTAAAAATTGTACATGGGCACTCATACACACGCATAGTCCATAAACGTGAGAGAAAAAGAATTGGGATATTTCTTTCCAAGGCAGCCATTAAAGAACTTTGCTTGGATTTCGACTCTGAATGAGATGATCACAACTCTGTCATCGAGTTCGGCAAAACGTCTACACCAGAGCCGTAGAGATCACTTCATTTCTGTGAAAACCCGAGAATACCTACCAGGTAGGTGTTCTCAGGTGAAAACCTCGACTTACCGAGGCTCCCGACCTGTTCTTTCCTTAGGTCGAGTGGACTCAAGTCGGAAACTGAGGAATTAATAATATGGCGCACCAGGTGCAGAGCCTGTCACGCAACGCCTGATATTCTTAGGCATGACCATCAAAACAAGACTACTCCGGGTGAAACGAGAAAAGAAAAGGAAACACGGATGAACTATCTAGATTTTCTCCTACAATTTCGCAGACCCTGTCCAGACCGCTCGGTTGGAAGGGTTGTTTTGGTGAAATGAGGTCCTCCCTTCTGGCCTCAAGATAGGTGAACGGAATGTGGAGCGAAAATTTGAGTGTGAAAGTTATCAGCGAAGCTGCCATGGCTGTGGAACGATTGAAAGTGGAACGAACGGAAAACAACAGTTTGTCGAGAACCCAACGGTTGATTGAGGAAAGGTATGAAAGAGAGGCACGGACTCGAGTTGTCTAGATGAGAAGCCTCATGAGGACCAACGAAGGCAACAGGAAGGCACACAGTGAATGCACCAAAGTCTGAACGAATAAGTAATAATATGGGTAACACAGAGGAATTATAGCAAGATGAGGAGCGTTAAAGGGCCAAGAAGAGCGTCAGACAAGAATGGCAGAGAAAATGGGAGACGTGTACGACTGGGCCGGGTATGAATCACTGGACCTGACAAGGAAGGCAGTTCAGCTGCTCACGGTACACAGCAACTTTTCGGGATACCTTGCTAGGTTTAATCTAGGATCGGAGTTGCAGTGTTCCTGTGGTTGGGAAGAACCGAAAACCGCCGAACATGTAATGAACTTGTGTGTGGATGGGGGCAATATTGGGTGGCGTGAATGGAAAGAACGTATGAAAAGAAAAAAAGGGGAGATACTCAGAGGGAGGAATGGAAATAAACGGTGTGTGGATGAATAGGCGGAGAATGTGGTGAGGAATGACCGGGGAAGATGAATGGTAGGCTGTCGCAACACTGTGAAAAGCGTTAACCAGAACTAAGCTGATTTGGATGGTTTAACGGCAATATCGTCAGTCCTAACGAACCAACAATAAGATGTTAGATTGGCGTCATACAATGTACTCGCACATTAGACAGTATATGAGAACTAGAATAAGGAACTTTCACATTATGTTTCACTTAGTATTGTTAGGCTTATATGGTTTATAAAAAGCCCCGATACTGTTTATGTAATTGGAGTGATAAATATTCGAACCCAGTTCACTCGTTTCGCAAAACTCCTCAAAGAACTTGCGCCCAGTTTACCTCCGTCCAATATAATACAGAAATATTAAAATAACCACTCACCTGCTTCTCCTTGGACCCCCTCCCCAACGTGTCCGTTAGTCTCCTCCTTCCTTCCGGCGCATTCCTCCTCCCCGTTCGCCTCCTTCTTCAGCAGCGTCGGCACCGTAACGCTCTTCTGCATCGCCCCCTCTAGGGACCCCCTCTTTGGACTCATAAACGGCAGCTGCGCCCTAAACTCGGGACGGAGATGCCTCAGAACGGGCAGCGTCGGACTACTCGTGCTCTGCCGCATCGCCGGTTCCGAAACGTCGAACTTGACCACCGGAGAGGGGGGCTTTTCATCGCAGTCGCTGACTCGCTTCTTCTGCGGCTTGAAGAAGCCCTGGGCGAGCGCCCCGGGACCATAGAGGCGCTCGACGCGCTGCTGGATGAACGACTTTGTCTCCTGGCCGTTGCGGAACTCTTGTCCCCCGCTGGTCTCGGACAAGCACTTGGTCTGCCCGTTTATCGCAGTCACGCTCTTGCTCTCGTAGCTTACTCGCTTCACTGGGAACAATTGTTTGAATTTATGTTGGAATTTTCATTAGGAACAATGGAAATTGTTTGGGATTCATTGAAAATGTCAAGGTCGGTCAAAATTTACGTAAAAAGGTATAATTTTTAGTAGTTTTTATGGAAAAGCCATTAGGATTGCTTCACTTATCGCCAAGAAAGCGCTACCAAATTTCTTTTTAATCGTATTTGCCGATCCTGAATAACTGGCAGTTTTATATTCGTTTAACTTAGTCTTTCTCAAAGACGCTGAAGGCAGTAAAGGGCACAGAGAAGATTGGGGGGCGTTGAATCGGTTTAGGGGGGCCGATGACTAATTTAAAAATGTTTTTTTGCTTTCAACACAAACTTTACCGCGCCTTTACGCTTAACACGCGTTTCCTCGTATAACGCCATCTAGGAAACTAGACAGTAAGTATTTCCTGTCCGATAGTTGTCAAACTGTACAATAGATGGCGGTAAGCTTCAATGCGAAGCGAGAAGTTTCTAGTCTCTATTCTCGAAAGTACTAGGCTCGCCCACTGCCTGTGCCGCTGATGTATGTGCGGGTGCGGTGGTGAATACTGTGAATGGTGTCATTAGCAAGTTTTTAATACTCGATTCTTCACTTCGGCATTTTTGAAGACAAAAAATATTTTCGAATGAATCCATGAAACCCTCAAGGCTACAATATCATTTGAATACAATGCATTCAGATAAAAAAGACAAAAGTGTGACTTATTTTCAAGAAATGGAAAAGAAACAGTCAGCTCAGCCAACTGTGTCGTAATAAATAACCATAACTTTCTCCTTCACTTTCTGACTCAAGGTCATCATCAGAACTTAGCGCAAAAGTTTCATCTTCGTCATCTGAACAGTCCACTAACTGTAACATTCCATCAACTGTTAGTTTGTTTGGATCTCTTATTGCCACTTTACGTCTTTTAACACCTGAAGAACCTGCCAGATTATTGTCTACTTCACTCATATTTAAATAAGCCATAGAAAGTTTTAAAATCCTCGAAATTACGAACAACCCTGAAATCTTCTTGAACAATACAATTTAAATGTGCGGACTGAAATACAACCACCTCTGTTTCGTGCGAACTGAATACTAACCCATTTATTGAGAGAAAGACATGCACGCCATAAGGCGTCACTGGAACAAAGTAAAATGATCAGATGCCGCCAATGGGGAATGTTCCTCCTGACGAAAATCAAGTAGTTTTCATAAAATCTCTAAAACAACGCATTTTAAACTTATCATTTCAATCTTTCTTTTAAAAAAATTATTTAACTACTTAAAAAAGAGGAAATGAAATAATGCATTCAACATTTAAAGGGATTCGTTTCTATTTCACCATTTGGCAACATCGGTTATAGCTAATAAAGGACAATGAATCTGCTACAGGTGTGAGACAAACAAAGATGACATATTTCAGAGGCGTGCTGTTCTGTTTACTTATGTTCCGAGACATTCTATGACATATGACATTTTGTGCACCTAACCTTCCTCTATATAAATAAATAACAAAACAACTGTTGTTTATGTGGCTTGTGGAGGGGGGTATTGAACTATAATTTATATTTTGCCTTAATTGTTGATTTATAAAGATACTTTTCCATTTTTAAAGTAGAATATCTAAAGCAAATTCAAATCCAAGATAGAGTGGATGTAAACATTGACATGCCCTACGCACGTGATATTCAAAATCCCAAGAATTGGCCAGTGTCGTATTCAGAACCAACATCTTGTTGTTTATAATAACGAGTGAAATGCACAAGTTTTGCAGTTTAACGTGGAAACTGCAGATAATATGTGAAATATAAAAAAATTTTCATTAGATTTTTCACAGCGCACTCAAGCATTATATGCAAAGAGACGTAATTATTTCTTTATTGATAACTTTGATAACTTTTTTATGTAAAATCAAAAGGAATATTGATCAAAATTATTCAACTGAATGAATTTTTTTCTTCATCAGTAGTGTCATCCTCACCAATCTGAATTATAAGTGGCTCGATTTGTGCCTCTATTATATTATCAAGCTTCCCCATCTTTGTCTCGACTTCCGATATCACATGCCGAACACACTTCTCCCATTTCTCCGCTGTGACTCTTTTCAAAGCCTCATCAAAAAGTACTGTGAGATCTGCAAATTTGAACGTGGTGTTATTCTGAGCTAGAAAATTCTTCACATCCGCCCATATTAACTCGATGGGATTGAGCTCGCAGTGGTATGGAGGCAGGCGAAGGACAATTTTGTTTTGTCCTGCTGCCATCTCATCGACTATATATTTTTGGTATTCAAGCTTCCGCTCCTTGACAATTTTTAGTAGCTGTACTCTTAGCATTGACTATTCAAAGCTAATATTCTTTGATCGCAGCCAATTTTGGATTTCAACCTTCTTTGAAGACGTTGTCGGAATTTTCTCTAACCGTTGCGAATGATAAGGTGCATTGTCCATTACAAGCACAACATTATCCTCCAGATGGGGTAGAACTTTGGAAAACCACTGTTCAAAAGATTCACCGTTCATTTCTTCGTGATAATCTCCAGTTTTCTTCGACTCGAAACACCACAGCCCTTCAGCAACAAACCCATTCTCATTGCCGATGTGACAAATAATAAGCCGTTTTCCTTTACCTGATATTATGAAGAGGTATGTAAGTAAATAAAACAAATACGAGGGTATCTTTTTCAACTAAAATGACTTTTTTAATAATTTTTTGCTAGCCTTCTTCGGTAATATTAAATACTTCTTCTTTCACTACCTTCTTATCAAATTTTGGAAAATTATTTTTACGCCTGATGATTACCCCAAATCAACTCGATGGGATTGAAAACACAGAAATAGGGGCGAAGTCTCAGTATGGTGTGTCCATACTTTTCAGCAATACTCTCAAGGGCACATAATTTCAAAGAATTAGGAACCCATCATTTACTTCCTCCGCAATGCACAATGATTAGTCGCGATCCTTTGTTTGCAGGCATGTTGGGCGTACATATTCTTGAACCATCAGTCCACCCTTTCGTAACTGTGTCGTGAGTGTCATACCAAGTTTCGTCCAAATAGAAAATGTGCCGTTGTTGTTGTTGTCTATATTTAGTTATTTGTTTTAAGTATTTATTACGCAATTCTACAATTCTTCTGCTTTCCATAACTGGTTGACGTTTGTATTATTTTGAATCTAATTCCTAGTTTCCTTGTCCAATTCTGAATAGATTTGTCACAGCAGCTCACGTTATGGCCGAAAATATTCAATTTCTTCCTTATGATTTCAGTTGTAGGAATCTCATTGCTTTTGTAACAGTCCTATATTGTTTTTTTCAATGATTGTGTTAGATGAACATCTAAATGTTTTGGTAATCCCGAACCACATCGCGTCTTGCGTTCGCAAGGTTTGTTTTTAACTATTTTACGTACAGTTGAGAAAGGAATTTCGGTCAAATCTAATGTTGCTTGTAATAGTTTGTTTCCCTTGAAACCAAACTGGAGATGTAGATTCTTATATACATTGAAACACACAATCTCTGTGTTTCAATATTCAAATGCATCCGAATCTTATTCACTGGTATCCATATTTCGCAGCACTTCGTCCGGTCCTTATCGCTTTTGATGACTACCGCATTACTAGGTGAAACGTCAGACATAAAAACCTGCAAAGTATTGCCAGCAAACACGTCCCCATAAAACCTGCAGACGACGGCCATCTCCCGAATACTTTTACCATCAACGTTGGTGTTCCTCAGGGATCCATACCGTCTCCATATCTTTTTTATTGTATATCAACGACTTATTGGCAAAAACCAAGCAACAATGTTAAATGGTAGAACTAAATTCTTACCGGAGTCATTTTTATTGTCTATGCATCGCCATTGTAAATAAAATTTGCCCCCCGCAACAAGATAGCTTCTGCATATCGACATTAGGACAAAGGTAATGGATAATGATCTCATTCCAAAAATGAGCAAAGAGAAGTTAAGGAAAATAATAAAAGAAGATTTAAAATTTATATATGCCAAAGGATCCCGTAAATTTGTCTTAATAGAAAGAGAAGATATAGTCTCATGGCGACGGAGATATCTTCGCTCTATTAGAGAAATGCGTTCTGCTCACAAAAAGATTTATTATCTGGACGAAACGTGGGTGAATGCTGGTCACACAGTTTCTAAGATATGGCAAGATACTACTGTAATTAGTTATCGTCAGGCATTTGTGGACGGTTTATCAACAGGGTTACGCGGACCAACGGGTAAAGGGCAACGACTAATTATCGCCCATATAGGTAGCGAGAGTGGCTTTTTAGACAATAGTGCACTAATTTTTTTGTTAAAAAAACGGGGGATTATCACAAAGACATGGACGCCCAACGCTTTGAAAGATGGTTTGAATCCCTTCTTTCACGAGTCGAGCCAAATTCGGTAATAGTAATGGATAACGCTTCTTATCACAGTCGATTAGTAGAACAGCTGCCAACTATGACCACCAGAAAAGCAGACATGCAGAGTTGGTTAGGACAAAAAGGAATTCCATTTTCCGAGGACATGGTTAAGGCCGAGCTTATGAGTGTCATTAAACAGCATCGTGACAGATAACGCCAGCATGTGGTGGATACAATAGCTCGTGCTGAAGGCTGAAGGTAGTTGTTTTTGCTGAGGGATTGAAGAGTTGAGGCATTAAGAGCTTTCGAATTTTCATTGAAGAAATGACAAGAAAATATGTGATTCGTATTACTCATCTGTCCATCCAGACTTTCTGAGGAAAATACAATTTTCTAGCCTGTTTTTGAGAGACTATGCGCTATTTTCCAGATACTACAATGTATCAAAATTTCGCATCAGTCGGCGCGATTCGCAAATCGACATAAATCAAACGAGATAAACGCCCAGACAGCTAAATTAGATGTTTCCTCGCAATCAATTCACGGGTATATCGACAACAGCAAAAAAAACACTTCGGGCACGTAGCGAAACGGACGCTTTTTTATCTAATCGAAGCCAAGGAAATATTTCACGGTTTGGACTCGAAGAAAGTCATGGGGCGTGAAACCAATTATAGGAATTGAGCATGGGATAGTTCTGTTCTACACAGAAAACAATAGAAGCGCGCTGGTTTCTTCAGGAGAGGTCAAATGTATTGAGACGGAATTATAGTGAGTTGAAAAAGTTGTATTTTCAACGACCTCCAAAATTAGGTTAATATTTACGTTGATTCAAGCAACTTCATTATTCACTTTTTCTACAATTGCTTCAATAAAATTTAATTACGGTGTCCAAATCCGTTTTTAGATGCTGCCAGATATTCCAACTGAGAAGTTCAAAAAGAAAATAAACTTGTATGTGGGAAGAAACTTGAGAATACTTTAGAAAACTGATAATGATGCCATTTTTTCCGTAGCCCAAAAAGGGCAAGAAAAATATTCCAAATGACTGTAGACCAGTCGCTTTACTATCCTTGATATCGAAAATCATCGAGGAAGTCGTAAGCCACCATATCCTCAAATATCTGGACGGCTTTAACATCTTGAGCGATCAATTACTTTTGGAAACAAAGATCAACAGGCGGCCTTTTACCGTATGTCACCCATATTTGGAATAACGCATTCGAGAAACATGGAGAGTCAAGAGCTGTTGCGCTTGATATTTCTGAGGCCTTTGATCGTGTGCTGCATGAGGATATGCTGGATAGTAATGAGTGCTGGTATCTTGTTGGCAACACTGTTTTTAACAGATCCCGCTTGAATCGTGTCTTATGTCAGTGTCAGTTTGGTCTATAATTTAACCATGAATTTTACGAATGAACAACGCTTGCAAATAATTGAATTTTATTATCAAAATTCATTCTCGGTGAAGAAAGTGCATCGTGCACTTCTTCCAATTTATGGGCAGTTTCGTCGGCCTACTGAGGGAGCTATTCGAAAGCTTGTGACTAAATTTCGAACCCAGTTTACATTATTGGATATTAAACCACCAACACGCATACGTAGAGTGATGACCGAAGTAAACTATTGCGGCTGTATCCGCCAGTGTTCGTGATGACCGTGAAATGTCGATTCGCCGCCGTTCGCAGCAATTGGACCTCCCCTACGTGGAAAATTTTGCGAAAGGATTTGGGTGTAAAACTGTATAAGATACAGCTGGTGCAAGAACTGAAACCACACGACCTCCCACAACGTCTAACATTTGGTGAATGGGCGCTGGCAAAGTTGGAGGAAGATCCACATTTTTAACGAAAAATTGTGTTCAGCGACGACGGCCCATTTCTGGCTGAATGGATACGTTAACAAGCGAAATTGCCGCATCTGGAGTGAAGACCAGCCACAAGCATTGAAAGAGCTACCGAAGCATCCCGAAAAAGTCACTGTTTGGTGTGGATTATGGGTCGGTGGCATCGTCGGGCCGTACTTCTTCAAAGACGACAATGGCTGAAACGTTACTGTGAATGACGTGTAATGATTCAATACTTTTTGTTGTCCAAAATGGAAGAATAGGACATGCCTGACATGTGGTTTCAACAAGACGGTGCCACACGGCACGCGAAACAATGTCCCAATTAAGAGCCGCCTCCGGTGAACAATTTATCTCACGTTTGGGGCCCGTCCATTGGCCGTCTAGATCGTGTGATTTAACGCCTTTGGATTATTTCTTGTGGGATCATGTTAAGGCTCATGTCTACAGGGATAAACCAGCAACGACTGACGCTCTGGAAGGTAATATTGAAGCATTTATACGTGAAATACCGGTCTATATATTAGAGAGAGTGTGCCAAGATTGGACCTTGCGCATGGGCCATCTAAAGCGAAGCCGCGGACAACATTTGCATGAAATCATCTTCAAACATTAAATTATATTGATCGTTCTATCAATTCCAATAAAGGTTTCATCATTTTTTTCAAATTTTTTGTGTTGTTTTGAAAATCAAATCCTATACCTCTTCAAAAATCACCCGTTATATCAGAGCACTAAGATCAGAGATAACTGCTAATAACCTTCAATCTCAGGCATGTCTAGGATTTTCAATTTACTAAATATGCTGTCATTATTTGAGAAACATCCATCTCAATTGTCGTTAAGTCAATTTGAAGTCAAACAACATCAAGAACACAAATCTTAGTTATCATAACATAAGTTTCCAAGAATTTAGAAGAACTGCAATCTTAGGTGCTTCTTTGACGGGCATTTTAAATATCTTGATTAACATCTATCGTGAAAATATCCTTGACCATCAAATATACTACGCTGGCATCAATATCAAATATTTTGAGAAACTTACTTAATCGAACTTAACCATATCTGGTAACTTTAAAGAATGTGAATCTCCAGAATCACAAATCAGTTTGGCATTATTGGAGGAACTATCTCTTAATTTCTCGATATTCGATACTCGATATTCACATCATTTTTCAACAAAACGGTGTCTACAGGTCAATCATTCTTGTTTCCATTTCATTTTGAAATAACTGGTATTGATGGTAATTTATTTCAATACATTATGGTTTGAATTCCACTACCTCCATTCGATTCTCTATTCCTGATTAATTGCTCTTCTCTAGGTAAGTTTTATCACCCTCCGTCCAAGCGAAATAAACTTTTCCACTATAACTATTGTTGGTTGTTGAAATATCTTCTTCAGCAAATCGTTTCGCTCGCTCAGATCGAAATTACTATTTATCGGCTGAAGATTCATTCAAAAAAGTCATCACAATATTACTGACCTGGTTGTACTTGAAATTTCACATTCGTTCTTTCAAACCCAATCCAACTAAATATTATTCGAGTCTGGATGATGTGGAGGCCGACCCAATACCTGCAGGTCTTTCCGCATTAAAATATTGGTATATTTTATTTATTTAATGTTCCTTTATCAAAAGGGATGATTTTAATCAGTATTTTTTATTGATAATCAAGCTCCAATGATTGACCTGGCATATAACACTCTCATATACGAACTCGGTTTCATGTTGTTCATTTGTTTAAAATCTGTTTTTCCGGTAATCAGCTCTAGCCCCCATACGAACGACAACTCACAGAAGTTGAGAAACTTGTGCGAGCTGAGGACTAACGAGGTCTTACCTTTTAACGTGTGATACAATGAATCTTTGAAAATGTAACAAAAATCTGACAAGTACCTTGGTAATCACAATATTTTAACCATGAAAGGTTTTATACAGTCGCACTGTGCTCGAAATTTTCATGGTCAATTAAATAAAACTCTCAAAGCCAAATTAATTGCTCGTTGAATAACGTAACAGTGAAAAATCTGGTAACACAATGCAAGTACTATCAACTCGTGTAATTGACGGAGGCGTCAGTTTGAATGGCACACTTAGTGGAAGCGCTTCCCATATCTTGCGTGATTCCATTAGTACAATCACCTTTAGCGAAATGCAAACGATTTCAACAGAAATATTTTGAACAATGGAACTGAATAGTGAGAACAAAGAGGAATCTATTAAAAACGCTTTTGCCACTGGTGCGTGAGAAGTTTTTTCAACGCTCTGCCAAGAAACAGAATTTGGTAATCTAACGCACTGCGCCAAATTTTCCGTCTATTAGGAAGCAATCAATTGAAAATACTTTTGCCACTGGTGTGTGAGAAGTGTTTTCAAGTTTTAGGTTCCATTTCTGACTAACAACACACTAGGAAAAATAGTTTCAGGACATTTTTAAGAATGCCTATTCTGTAAACAAACTCAGGAGATTCAATGAATGTTCAAGGAAAAGCTAAGATGATGATTGGATTCGGAAGTGGAGTTGAATGTATCTATACACGTTTAGGGCTCATCGACATATCTGTTTATGGATTTGTATTTTGTATTGTTATTGCAAGTTATTCATTTCCACATACTTATCGACTTTAAATAGTACCTCATGCATTATAAATGACAGCATGATAAATCCATGGCAACAATAATCTTTTTTCCTTTTATAAGTAGGAGTATCTCTTCAATCTTATAAACACTTCTATCAGTTATTTGAAATTTGAAACAATTCGTGAATCTAATTACGTATAAAAACACCCAAATATGAAACTAGCAACGCTCCATCAAGAAGCATAATTTGGTAATCTAACGCACTGCGCCAAATTTACCATTTACACAGTAACATTAATAACTAACTGGAAAAATCATCATGCAAAAGGAGCAAAATAAAAATCGAAGCATAAACCAAACAAAAAAAAAACACTCGAACCAAAAAAAAAACACCAATGTAACCCTTCTAACCTGATAGATCAGCCGAAGCGTCGACGTCCAGCGAGCACGTACCGATCGAGTCGACGGAACGCTCCATGGCGTCGGCTACAAGCGGCTTCCAGACGTCGCTAACGATGGCGACGCATTTAACGGGTGGCGTCGCTGCCAGGATCGTCGGCGACGAACGTTCAGTACATCTTCCGCTAGATGGTGACGGCGTCGGAGTGGGAGTTTCGGGGGTGCTGGCGTCGTCCGCGGGTTGTACCTTTAGATATACGTTTCAGAAGTTTCGAAACTTCAGAGATTCGAATGGAGGGTCGCACGTTGTTGACGATTTTCGAGGGTTTACGTGGAGGTTTACAGAAATATCCTAAACACTAACATATAGGGTTTTCCAAACTGATGTTTTTTAGAGACGTATCTGGAAAACAAAAAGCAGTATGTTTTCCAATATTGGTAAATACCCTAAAATCACTATCACTGATAATCAATGATAAATAACATCGATTTAGGAATTTTGGATTGTTCACTAGATATACTGGATGGACTGAAAAGTTTGTAGGCTAACAGACAGATGGCGCTACTAGTATTGAATCCCTATGATTTTGTTATCCCTAACCTTCAAAATATACGTGTACACATTTCACAGCTGTCGAACTATTAGTTTGTGGGATAGAACATTTTGAGTGAAGCAACTTTTGTTAGTTTGAATCAAATGGATAAAAAAGAATTCAGAGTGTTAATGAAGCATTGCTTTTTGGCGAAAAAGAAACTGTTGAAGTCAAGGCTTGGCTTGATAAACGTTTTCTTACATTTTCTTGACAATATCAAAGCGAAGAACGAACCCAACGAAGTCTCTCTCTTTGAGAAGGACCAGGGCTACCGCCAAGGACCATTTCCACATGACTGATACCACTTTTATCCCATAAAATCCCGAACTTTTGAAGCATCCGAGATCTGTTTTACGCAAGGCTTCGTTCTCTCTCAAATTACCAATCCAACGAAAAAAATTAACAAACCAATTGATCACATATTATATTTAAAAAATATTTTTGTCACCGTTTGTTTGAAAGTGGTTGAAGTAGAAGTAACCATAGACTTACTAGGATGCTGTGTACGGAACTGCTAGTCCAACAGAAGGACGAATTCTTTTCGCAAGATGAGGAACTTCCAATGGCATCGCCACTTTCACCAGTTATAGCCAAAATATATGTGGTTTGAAACTCTGGCCATTGAAGAAGTCCACAAGAAGCCCGTTGATGACACCTTCATAGTATGAAACCATTGGAATGCAGAACTAGACCCGTTCTGCAAGTAGGTTGTGTTAACTATCAGGCGCGTCCTCAGATGGCGGATAGGGGAATGGCCAGGGGACTGGAGGCCCTGTCCGGGAAGCCATGTGGCCTTACGGACGGGGTCGCCGGACTCCTGGTCAGTGGCAGAAATAAGTAGGGTGAGGGTAACTAAAACTTCCCAAAAGCCTTTGCAAAAAAATCCATCGTGGACCAGCCTACCCAAGCTAAGGTGTAAGGAATCGTGCCGACAGCTGAATGGCCGCAAGGTGATATGCGGTCACGAACAATCCCCTTGACGAACTGGGCTAAACCTCATTGTAATCAGCCTACCTCTGATAATGCGTGGCTCAATCTAAGGCGGTGACTGGGGATGAATAGAAATGTCCACCCCAATCTAATGCTTGGAATAAAGCTGGACATAGCAGATCACCTCGTGATGTAATACAAAGGCCAAGGCGTAAGCGCATTTGCGGCGCCGAGGCCAAAAGGAGAAAGAGAGCGAAAAAGGCAGAAGTGGCAGCAACTGTAAGTGCACCCTCCTCCTCCCCCACTCCACCTCCAACAGCAAAGGCACTTCCTGCGGCGAGCGCCAAGAGCTCCGCCTTGAATAAAGACAAGGAACCGGCTGCACCTGCGGGGAAGCTCTCTCACTTATGCACCTCCACGGAGGAAACCCCAAGAAGGTTGAAGAAGCCGCGCAACGACAATAATGTCACTGCACCTTGCAAAACCTTCGCAGAGGCCACCGTGAGACACCTCAAGATTACCAAAGAGAGTGTGTGTTCGGCGAGTCTTGGCCTACACCTGCCAATATGAAGGAGATGTCTTCCAGAGATCTGTCCACCTTCCTGGAAAGGACAGGATGGACGATGACCTAGAAGGACAACTTCTCGGGAGGATGTACAATGGGTTACATGTGGCCTAAGTGCTCTGAGTCTACACTCACCCTCCCTACTCTACAGATACAGATATACACTTTCTGAAGCACATCAACAGCGTGAAACCCTTCATCACCTTCACAATGGAGAAGAGAATCCACAACGAATTGCCATTCTTAGACATGTTGATGAAGAGGACCAACACTAAGTGGGAAACATCTGTATATCAAAGGGGACAGTATCTGAATCACGAATCCAACCACCATCAATATACCAAAAAAGGAATCATCAAGCCTCTAGTGCTTGATTGTGCTTTCGAGCTCTGTAATACGAAAGAAGGTATCGAGCAGGAACTAGGCATCATCAAAAAATATTGTCAATGGAATGGTGGTGGAACAGTGTTTGTCAAGAAGACAGCAAGAGCCTCACAAGGAATAGAAGTCGCCACAACTAGTGCTTGCCCTTCCCCACGTCAGAGGATTGTTGAAAATAATAGAAAGACTTTGGTCCAAATACATCAGAACTTTCTTCAAATCCGGAAACACCATCCGTAGCAGCCTCACGAATACCAGGCCACCAAACGCGGACTGCGATTTCAAGAATTGCATTCACCAGATACCCTGTGAGCGCTGGAAACACAGCGAGGAGAAACATGCCAATCGGGAAGAGCAGATTATGTTTGGACTCATAAACATAACATCAAGTGGTCCCAAGTGAGATAATCCACAGGGCGGAATACCGGTTTAAGAGGAAGTTCAAAGACGCGGCATACATGTTGTCCAACGACGCATTCAGCCAAGCTAGCGTAGAAATACGCAGCATATAAAAATCTTCAATCAAGCGGAAAACGGTCAACTCCAACTAACCCGGTGAAGTGGATAGAGGGAAAAGGGGATAGGTGAAAAGTAATATAGCTCTAGGAGTTCTAAGCCATTCCTTATGGAAAACCACGTGCAAATTTGCGTATGTCCATTCTGGACCTTTTTGATCCTTGTGGAACACTCAACTCGAGGTAGCTTCTGATTGGTAGACTGGGTAATGACGAATAGTGGAGGAGTGGGGACTGTAATAAACTCACTTCAGGTTCATTTATAAGGAACGGAATGAAACGACTTCGTAGAAAAACTTCCTCTATTCAGAATAACTCAAATTGATCTACCTTGTTTCAATTACATGATCCTCGTCGTAATCCTTCCCTATCTCAATGTTACATAATGTTTTAATAACATAAGATCGGCATACATCGAAAAGAGCTGTCCTGGCACGTATTAGGTGTTCTAATTAGAATATTGTTTATTTCTCAATTTGTTATTGTTCCACATTATTTGCTATACCAGTACAGGACGACTACGTCACAGCTACCTCGAGTTGGGTGTTCCACAAGGTACCGATCGGAAGCCCAAAAAGGTCCAGAATGGACCTACATAAATTTGCACGTGTTTTTCCATAAGGAATGGCTAAGAACTCCTATAGCTATATTACTGTGAAAGCGTTAGAATGACCTATAAATAATCATCTCTCGGGGGAATAGTCCAGTCATCACCTGAAGACCATTGTGGATATTAACAATCGAAACGTCGTGAAGTAGTTGGTTTGAAATCTTTTTAATTTCCATTTCATTTTTAATTGTTCAATTTCAAATTTTTTCACGGTTTATTGCTTGATATAATTTTTATTCTTAGCTATTCATTTCAATTTTCAATTTCATTTGTTCTTTCAGAGATTTCAAATCATATTATATCATTATACTAGACAGTGGGAGTCCGAACTAGCAAAATTTTTGCCACCCCTTACAAAAATCGTCAACGCTCCCCCATTCGTGTAAATACCTGTTGGAGATGTCGGCAGTCGGCCGTCTTCCTCGAAGAATTCCTGCGGACGAGCCCGCCCTTCCTGCTGCCGGCGCCGGACGAGTTGCGGCGGTGCAGTCGTCCCCCGACTACGGCGGGCACCGTAGGTAGCAAGCAGGGGCGTCGCGCCGCCGCCGGCGTCGTCGGTATGCGGGTGACGCCGAGCAGGAGCACCGTGGATCGCTCTTCCGGCAAATCGCTGCGTCCGGCAAGAAGGAGAAGATAAGAAGAAGAATAAGTTTATTTTTTCGAAACACATGGTTACGTGCAACACACAAAACACAAAGTTTTTCGTGCGACATATAGGTTAGAACAGGGCGTGCGGTGGAGATCAATCTAGCAATCAAACTAATCGGAAATAGCAGAGCGGAGTCAACTTCCACGTTTAAGACGGCACTGAAACGCCACGGAAAGTTTCTTCATGATCGGCAGTTTGAATTGTGGATAACAGTTGAACAAAAAACAATTTAAACTGTGAAAAACGAATAATCGATAATTCTAGACACTACACAGTTTAAATTTGTATATATAATCGACTAATCGTTACTTTGAGCTGTAAATTATTGAGAGATAAATTGAACAGTCGATCATTAGAATAATAAGTTGTCGGTTTCAACTATCATTTATAGATAATAATCTACGGTTTAGAGTGTCGACTATGGTGAGTCTATAGTTTGAACTGTTATTATCTATAATAGGTCTAAGACCCTTTTAGCTGTATATTAAAAAAACATCTGTAGAACTGTCTATTTTAAGAGTGTCAGTTTAAACTGTGGATTACAGTTGAACAAAACATAATTCAAACTATGGAATACGAATAATCGATAATTCTAGATACTATACAGTTGAAATTTGTATCTGAAATCGACTAATCGTTACTTTGAGCTGTAAATTATTGAAAAATAAAACAAACAGTCGATCGTTAGAGAAATAAATCGTTGGTTTCGACCATTATTTATAAATATAATCTACGGTTTAGATTGTCGATTATGGTGAGTCTATAGTTTGAACTGTACTTATCTATAATCAACCTACAGTTTAAACTGTGGATAACAGTCGAACAAAAAACAATTTAAACTGTGGAAAACGAATAATATTCGGTTTCAACTATCATTTATAAATAATAATCTACGGTTTAGATTGTCGATTATGGTGAGTCTACAGTTTGAACTGTGATCATCTTTATTCGGCTAATCGACAATTTTGCTGTATATTGAAAAAAATCTGTTGAATCAATTTTAAGAAAGATACTGTCTATTAGTCGTAATCATCAATTTTAACTGTCGACTATAGATAATCAATTATGGTGATTGTTTGAAGTACAGATTATCTATAGTCGACAGTTGAATCTGTCAACAATTTGAACTTTCGTTTACAAATTATAGACAGTTTGAACCGGCGATTATAGATAATCCACAGTTTGAACTCTAGATTAAACTATCAACCGATTATGGCAAATTACACTTCAAACTATCGATTATTAAAAACTGTATATCTATATCTATATGATTTTGAATGAATAATCAGTCGTTCAAACTTTGAATAATCAACTGATTAAGGCAAATCAATTGTCGATTATAAAAAAAATACCATATCACTTCAACTGTCGATAATGTCGAAATAATCAACAGTTTGAACTGTGAAATAAACAGAATTGATTATGGCTGATTTAAAAAAGAATACTATATCGCTCAGCTATTGATTATTACAAACTGTTGTAGCTGTCGATTAAAAAATAGTACACAGTTTAAACTGTTAATTATTCCGCTATAGTCAATTATTCAAACTGAACATTATCTATAATCGACAGTCGAATTAGCATAGTTGATTATGGCAAATCGATAGTACAAAAAGTTGCCACTGTCACTTCTTCACGAATTATTATTCAGTCATCCTTGTTCACTGTGTTCCAACATGGTTTATTCTACTGAAGAAAGAATAGAAATTATTGCAACCTATTATCGAAATAATGAATGTGCTAAAGCTGCTGCAAGAATGTATAATACAAATCATCCAGACCACAACGTGAGCCATCAATACGTTACACAGGTAATGGATAAGTTCCGAACTTCAGATTCCGTCCTGTCGGAAATGACGGAGTTGAAGTTGCAGTTTTAGGACATGTACAAATGAATAATTGACAATCTATCAGACAAGTAGCTAGAGCGTCTGGTTTTTCAGCTACTAGTGTTTTTCAGATTTTGAAAGCCTACAAATTCCATCCTTCCAGATTAAGGCTAGTTCAGGAATTAAACCAAGATGATCCTGATCGTCGACTTCAGTTTTGTGAGGTGTTCAGCGAGAAATTGACCAATAACCCAAACCTATCATACAATACATGTTTTACAGACGGAATGTTGAAGTGAATAGACATAATTGCCGTTGCTAAAGCGATGTGAATCTTCATTTGGTGATGGAAACACATTCACAAACTCCACAAAAATTGAATGTCTGGTCCGGCATTCTTGGTAATCATTTTCTTGAACCATTCTTCATATATAGCCAAGTGATTGAAACTTTGCACCAGTCATGTTAAAATTTTTATAGCACATTTTCAATTTACCTCTAAAAATAAGTGGGACAAAATACCTTTCAAGTGATGTATCACTCGACCCCTCGTGCCATTGAAAAAAATAGGAGGGGGTAATTGCTAATCGCAGGGGGGTGAAGTTTCGGATACGATTTTCATATCAGAATTAGCCCTCAGAATTAGCCCCGCTAGAAATAAAAGTTGACGTTTTTTTTGAAATTTTTGATTACACGGTCGTTTGTGACTTACAGGGGAGGTCAAGTAAATTCCCTTTTTCAAACTAACAAAAATAGCTTTTTTTTTATAAACAGATCCTCTTCGACGATACGTATCTCTTTCAAGGGTCGTACTTATTCATTATTTTGTCATTACTATTCGAGACATGGTCATGCATGGTTTCGATTTCATCGTACGTGAAATAATGTAAACGGAGGGGGATTCGTTGACGCAGGGATTCGTTGACGCAGAGCTGTAAACAATAAACGAATCGTAAACGAAGGAAATAAGGTCTCGTGCGGTCGAATGGAATTCGAGAAGATCGTTTTTCAAAGAGATTAACTCGCGTCTTTCGTCAAGTTAGTAAATTGAAGGAAATTATCTAATTTGTCGGTTTTATTGGTTCGCCATATGTGTGTATAATATTTTTACCTACATAGGTACGTAATTCAAAATCCAAAATATGAATACATTGGCTCGTTATATGATGAAGATTAATGACACTATCCATGATAATATCAAGTGGTCTCAAAAGTTTTGTCCGTTTTAATGAGTTCACGTCACACTGTAATACAGGGTGTTTCAAATTCGATCCTCACCATTGGGATCTCGGAAACTATGAGAGACACGAAGATGGTTAAATTGGAACAAAGTTGCGCATTTACCTGACTAACAATATGCCGTTGAGAGAGTTCTGAAATTCCAAGTATATCCGGAGATATCCGGAAAAACAGAAATTTCGGAAAATGGTTATTTTTTTCAGGCTTTATTTTTGGAGGATTCGAAAATAAATTGCACTTCCACAATGGCACTTTTTCCCTGCTACATAATGGTGTTTTCAGATTTGATAATCGACGTTTCGTTTTCCGGTCACCATCATCATGACCACCATCATTCAAAGGCGCTACATTGGATTCTTCCTGTTTTGAATAGAACCAGATTTTACCTTTTCAATGATAAGTTATCATTATTTTTACAAAAAATTCAAGATATTGAAAAAAATAATTCTTATCATAATAGGCTTTGCCTTTGATGTTTCTAAATATGACTTTCAATTTGTTACACTCAATGACATTTTGTTATTGTACAAGTCATTGAATTTTTGGCGAAAAATAGCTTCAACGAATGAAGAAAATAGAGATATGATACAGATTTATTACAAATACGATAGAAAGTGTTAGGTCTATTTAGATAATCTACCTTTGGCTAACTATAACAACATCTGGTTTCAACATGATGGTGCTCCACCGCAAACTACCAGACGATTATCTAATTACCTGACTAAAATGTTTGGTGATGAATGGATAGGAAATAATGGGCCGGTGATGTGGCTAGCAAGGTCTCCAGACTCAAGTCTTATGAAATAACTAGCTAGATGTACTGTAGACAAGACAAGATTTAATTCTAACTGTACTCTTACAAGGTTTGAAACGTAATGAATGCTTTTACAAAATGGCAATGTTTCACATCGGTAGTTAGAGAAGGGGTTAGATTCGTCGTTGTAGGGATAGGCGTAGGTTTTGTAGGTAGGAAAGGTTATAATAGCGGGCAATTCTCAAGATAAGGGATACAAGAAACAATTAAGGAATTTAAAGGTAGCTATTTGTAGTTTACAATATTTACATGGAAATAAAGATATTCGAGAATATTGAATTTGGAGTAAGTGGATTAAAAAAGACCCGTACATTAGGTAACTAAGTGGAAAACCCCGATTAGGAATAATGAAAAATTGAATAACTTAAACAAGATTAGTTAACAATACATAAAATAAAAATAATGCCATAAAATAATCTGTTTTGTTGTACAAATTTTAGAGCTGGCAACTCTGGGATAAATACTAAAAAATTAAGATTCCCTTTAAAAACATAATAATTTCGATAGCAAGATTTTGAGACCGAACAGTATCATATCTCTTGTTTCGTCATTCGCGAAAGCCATTTTTCGTCAAAAATGCAATGACTTGTACAATAACAAAATGTCACTAAGTGTGAAAGTCAAATTAAGAAACATAAAATTCAAAGCCTATTATGATAAGAATTAATTTTTTGGGTGTAACAAATTAAAAGTCAAATTTGGAACATCAAGAATTAATTTTTTTCAATACCTCCAATTTTTCGAAAAAGAATAATAACTTATGATACATCATTGAAAAGGTAAAAATCTGGTTCTATTCAAAACAGAAAGAATCCAATGTAGCGCCCATAAGAAAAAATAAAGTTGATGATGGTGGCCGGCGACGAAACGTCGGATAGCATATCTGAAAAAACCATTATGTAGCAGGGAAAAGTACCAATGTGGAAGTGCAATTTATTTTCGAATCCTCCAAAAATAAAGCCAGAAAAAAATAATAACCATTTTCCGAAAATTCTGTTTTTCCGGATATCTCCGGATATACTCGGAATTTCCGAACTTTCTCAACGGCATATTGTTAGTCAGGTAAATGTGCAACTTTGTCCCAAATTAACCATATTCGTATCTCCCATAGTTTCCGAGATCCCAATGGTGAGGATCGAATTTTAAACACCCTGTATATCATTGAATACTTATTCAATTTATTTGAAATATTTTGAATCACTGCACATTTACCAACGTAACACAAGTCGAATAATTTCATCACTGTTGTTCGACTCTAGTCAACAACTAGTTTGTCTTGCAGTGAAAGCTGTAGTGGAAGACGGAAAACGAATTTCGTCAACGGTCAGTTTTGGAAGCTTGGCTTGGCTTGGCAAATAACCAACCGCCTTGGGGAGCCACGTTTATCATTGTTATCCATTTGTTTCCATTTTAAATTCAAGTTACGATTGTTATCAAATTAAAAACCATTTATTTATTCGTCACCGTGTACAAAAATAGTTGTGGGACAACTGCCGAAATCAAAAAATAAAACTTGACTAAGGTAATGAGTCAGCGTAACCTCTTAGATGAATCTAACGGACGAAATGGAAACCGCTTAAAATTCTGATGATCATTTTCATCACATTTTCAAGACAAGCGCTGCCGCTGATAAATTATAATTTCCGTAAATTCATTATTTGAAAATATTTCATAGAGCCTAAAATTTGGATTCCAAGTTAGATTATCGTTTCCTCTTAGAAAAGTGTACGAAAATACATCCCTAGTACACCAAATTCAATCGATCAAAATCTATGATTTTCGAAATATTGCTAGGCAAATGACCCGAGTATAAAATGGGGCACCGTAAGTCGCGCAAAATTTACAGAATCATGGATTCCCACACATTTCAATCGACTGAACCTGCAGCACTTTGGATACAATAAAAAAAGCATTACTGTTAAAAAATAGCGACAAATTCAAACGGCTGATCACAATCAATCATTTAAAAAAGCCACACAAACACAGAAAAATAAAACCATGCTGTTAGTCGACGAAATCTCGGCCAAAAACAAAATCCAAACCTCTTCAGCCACTTGGATATGAACCGATTCAAGCGACGTTTCTTCCCCATGACACGGCCTTCTTCGGTAATTTTTCTAGAACGAAAAAAATAGGACACGATAATACAAGAGATTCGATGCACACGTTTATAAACGATATCCACGGATGCACTGCAAACGCAGTACCGAAAATCTTATTTAGAGCATCTCTAGACGACCGATCGGAATTCCCTACGGGATCTATTTTTAGCTACCCCAACTATTCCAAGAGCGTGGCGAGCGAGAGGGGCCATCTTGAACGCCGAAGAAAAAGTCCCGACGCGGAAAAATAAATAGCGAAGAATACTTTTGATAATAACGAGCAGTTATACAGCTCCTTCCAATTGNGAAAAGAAGATTGGGCTAATGCTGTAGCCCATGTGATCAAGGAAGAAGAGAAAATGTGGAGATTGGACGGGATGGTAGATTTAAGTGTGATTGGGGATTTCTCTTCGGGCGAGTCTGTGGATTCTGAAACTTCATAAGCATAACATAGATAGTTATTTCTTTGCTTTGTAGTTCACTTTCTATATAAAAAGAACATAATAATTATTATGTAAATTTTTCTGTTTTTTTGAAGTGATGTATTAGGCATAATGAGAAAATGTAATCAGTTTTACCATTGAAACCAGGTAGCGCCACCTACTATAACAATTTTTACGTAATTACCTATGTAATTACGTAAGAATTGCCATAATGTTCCAATAGTTTAACAATTTTTTCGACTATTAAAACAGTTGTTTCAAGAATTGTAATGAATTCCAGCAACAAAATGTAATAACCATTTATAATTTTGCTTCCAGGGGGAGGGCAGCTGTTCCCCTACCCCTCACCGGTTACGCCGCTGGCTGATGCAGTGGAATTTGTTGGTATTTATTTTCTCAATTCCGAAGTGTTTTTACATAAAATACACGGAATAATTTCGCACTTCGTTGTGGTTTTTCGATGCTCTCTCCGTTTCATCGATCCCGGCTTCGTTAATAACCCTGACCTATCCGATAGCCAAACAGCAGCGCGGCGAATCGCGTTATGTTTGCATCAAGTTCAACGTACCTCTGGCATCAATCTGAGATGCAATCGAGTTTTTAATTTCTACGGAAACGTCGATACTTATTTATCCTAGCTGTTTATTCAAGTCGATTTCCCGAAACAACCGAGCGCAGTAGCTACTCGTTAAAAATTACTCAATGAAACCGATCGTGCAGATCGGGGGTTCTCAAACAGCGGGTCGCGAACCCGGGGGGTCGCGGAATGTGTCCAGGGGGCCGCGAAGTATGAAGGAAAAGTAAGAAAAAATCATGAAGAGAAGAGAGTTGAAAACTTTTTTCACCACTTTCATTTTAACTAACGTTACTGCAGTTTCGTCCTATAAGGACATTTCAAAGTTATGTCCTATAAGGACATTTTCAAACTTATGCATTAATATGTAAGTTTGAAAATGTCCTTATAGGAAAAATAAAAGTGGTAAAAACATAGAAAATTTTCATTTCTCTTTTCTTCATTAAGATCATTCAGCAAACTAGCAATAATTTAGTCTTGAGTGGACATAGGCATAGTAGTAGCTTAATAAAATATTAATGGGGACAGAATTTTTGATATTCCAAATAACGAAACAATGCTTGCATAAATTTATAGAAATAGAGTCAATATGATCATTCCAGGACGTGCATTATCAGCTTTCCGCCTCCACCTGGACGAGAAAAAAAATCGTACCGTGACATGTCGCACCATTCCGACACCATACTCGCCTTAAAAGGACCTCCTGCACTTGTTTTTTTGTAGCACGCGGACGGGCCGTCACGTAGTACCTGTCGCGGTACTTGCTCCGGTACATACGGTTTCGCAAACGGTACGGCTGTAGCAAAGAGAGGAGGACTTTTCAGCTGACTTCCATCACGCCTTTACCATACCAGAAGTAAAAGGACTGGAATGTCTTCGTTCGCTATTCGAAATATAATCGTGCGACCTATTTGATAAACCGAAGCGATAACGTCGATAGTACGATACAAATAAATACCTCCGAGTATTAATGGAGGATTTTTTTTGCGTGGTAGGTTTAACAGGAATGCTGCACGGTTTGCAGTAAACCTTTCACAATGATCATTCATGAGAAGTACCATTGTTGAACTGCAAATAGTCTAGGACGAGATCTAGGACTATTGGGCTTTGCTGGATGATAGAATTAGCAAGTTTATAATGACAATTTTTGATATAACCCGAACTAAAATGTCCGACACAAAATTTCGCAAACCAACATCGAACTCCCCAGAGAGTTACTTGTGGTGTTCCACAAAGATCGGTGCTAGGCCCAATTCTCTTCTTGTAAAATATTAACGACCTAGCTCGCATTAATATAGCTGCAGAGATAACCCAATTCGCAGATGACACTACATTATTTCGGCATGGCAAGAATGAAAGGGAACTGCATGATTTGATCAGCATGGATATTATGAAAATAAAAGACTGGTGTGATGCTAATCTCCTGTCATTTAATATCTCAAAAACTAGCATCATCACCCTCAAGTGCTCCACACTAGGTAGAGGTAGAGGTCTTTCATGTATAATGAAAAAAAAAAGTTTTTAACCACTTGCCAATTGAGATCAAAGGCATAAAATTTAGAAAGTCTGTAAAAAAGCTTCTGATTTCAAAAGCCTATTATTCTTTAGACGACTATAAGAATTGTAACACTTTGTCAATAAGATTTCATCTTCGACAATAAAGTACATTTTGATTGATTTTGATTGAATCATTTTTTGTAAACAGTCTCATCTCCAACACAGACATTTATCTTTTTCTATTAATTGGATCTTTTAACTCTTTGTTTTTCTTCTCTAAAGTTTAATTATTACTCCCTTCGAATCTGCCAAAGCTATTCTCTTTTCAATTCAGGAATATGGCAAAAGTATCACACAACCAAGTAAACAAATCAATTCACACTTGAAGTGACATACAACTGTGTTTCAATCATGATATCATTAGTGGGTATTTCAAATTTTCGTCAATTTTTTTTTTCTATTAGTTTTCAATGTTTTTCCAGGAACCCTAATATAAACAGTTAGGTACGCCAATGTAATGCTCACTTCAGAGCAGTTTATTACTCTCTATCAACCAGACTAATATAGATAGAAAACTCAAAACTCTTTTTTTTTAAGAATTAATCTCCTAAAAATATCCCCCTTTCAAATTGAAAACATATATAATTATCTCAAGGAATGTATCCATCTGAAGACTCACGTTGTCTCAAAAAATTAATTTTCAAAGATGGATATTTCAGTCATGTACTTGAAATCTGAACTAGTATCAGTTGAGAGTCAAGTTTTCAGAATCAACCTATACAGCATATTAGTAAAACTTTTTGTGAAGACTATAAAGAGACAATAAGGTTCATTCTAGTTGGCAATTTCGCTAATTATTCCAGTCAAGAAACAGTTTGAACAGTGAGTCAAGTTGCTTGGAAGCCGACAACTCAAAACGGAAAAGAATAATTTCTGCACTGATACCGCCAGTGCAATTATCAATCATCAGGGCCTTAACTGGAACGATATTCATCAAAACACCTTGCATTTGGCTCACTCGTTTCCCGTCCTAGATAATATATTTGGCATGCAAATTAACCACGAACCTAGAACGGTGGTTCAACTAAAAAACCACGACACTTAGCAAGATCGTAACAAAAATACTCGTTCTCTTTTCAAAGCACATAAAAGCAAAATTCAAAAACATAAAAGGGTGTCATGACAAGTAGATCTCTGCAGGTGATTAGAAACTGTCCACTTACCGATTCTTGATGATTCAAATGCTACGGGAATTTGTACACTAATTTCTTTGAAACATAATACGTCCGAGATGATAGTTGCTGTCGAAATTGTTTTAAGGAGAAATTTCACACGCACTGCCTACACAACTGAGCCACGAACGTAGACATATTAAATTTTTATGAAAGTTGACAGAAAAACAAATCGTGAGTCGGTAACGTAGAGTTCGCGCTATATTTTCGGCGTTGCCGGATACTCCTAATTTGAGGCAATATATGTAATTCGATAGCGTAAATGGTATTACATTATTGAAGCGACACTTAAAACTCGCTAATCCTTAATTTTACCATTTAAATTCAGTGTTTTTGTGTAGTGTTGAAAACCACATTTTTCACTTTTTGATTTTTTTATCACTGACACTGATGACTAATTTATTTTCTACTATTGAAAAACTATACGACAGTTTTTTTCTTCCGTTTATTCAATTTTAATGAACAGAAGAAACAAATTTGAACGTTAACAATCTCTGGCTACACTCCTTTCTTATTTCAGAGTTTATTTCATATCAGTTGGAGTTGATATACATTTTGGGGCACTCAACATTTACCTTCTTCAAGTTGTGAGTGAAGTATTGTCTGGAAAGTTATATTGAAATAAGTTATTGTCCTTTCATATTTACAAATTCCATAATTGTCGTTATATCTAGCTATTGTCTAGCTATGCTACGAATGCTACAATTTATAACGACCGAACACATTTTCAGTGATTGAAATGTAGGCATGAAGTACCGTGAAAACTGCTCATTTTCGACATAAGATCTAGTATCATCTTCCAAATGTTATTTCGAGAAAAATTTTGTTCAAATCAACTTCATATTTCATACAAATTTCAGTAAAAACTGACAATTAAAGTTTTTTGTTTTCCTTGAGTTTTGCAGCGTCTCTGCGGCAATATTCCACTCGAAAAGCAAATTTGTCTTCCTATATTCATCATTACTAATTTTACGTCATACCACACGTAGAAAACATTAGAAGTGATGAAAAATACCGTACTAATATGTTCCCAAAATTGTTAAGGGTCATTGAATTTGAGACAAAAAAAGGCACATTAAGTGACGTTTCTCTGCACTTCCTATAATTCAAAATTACCGAAATGAAAATCTGGCAACGACTAGGTCCGCTCTCATTGGTTGAAATTTGAAACTAGAAAATTCGTAAGGAATTGGTTTCGCCAAAATTTTATTTTTTTAGTATTCGTCACTTTGTGGTGATCGTCGATGTTTAATTTGAATTTTATTCTGCGATTTTAATTCCAGCACAAATATACATATGAAAAAATGTCGGACGATGAATCCGATAAACAATTAGCATCCTACAACTCTGCTGTAGAGAGGTATATAAATTTCTTCAGATCCAACATGCTCATTCTCAATTTCCTTTTTTAGTTATGAACACTTGGAATCCCTTTTCCACCAAAAATGCTTAGATTTTACGCGAATAAAGCAAGAACTCAAGAACTGTTCCGATAAAATCGAAAATATTATCCTGGGCGAAGATGCTAACTGTACATTTTTCGTGAGATTCAATAATCTTGACTAACTACAGTGTCGCAGTTAATCTTTTTTACAGGTCGACTTATACCAGCTAAGGAATCAAATTTTGGAACTTTCGAAATATGTAGAAAGGAGAAGTCAGAACATGAAGCCTTTGAACGCAAGAAAACCTTACGACCTTGTTGTGGCTGGTGGAAAAAAGAAACCCGACAGCGACAATATGCTGAGTTTCGTCAAGGGAACCATCGAAACTCCTAGAATAAACGGCTTGGCCGAAATCGCAGGTTTGTGGGAGATAAAGAAGACTCTGAAGTCTCTCGTAGTGTTGCCCAGAACTCAACCCCAGTTGTTCCTCAACCGTAAGGCCTCTAATAGCGTTCTTTTATTCGGACCGCCTGGCACCGGAAAAACTCGCCTGGTTCATGCTCTAGCACACGAAGCTGGAGCCTTGCTGCACTCTGTTAGCGTCTCTAACATTCTTTCACATTTTGTTGGACAGTCAGAGAAGTACGATTGAACACATTCTTATACTTTTCATTTTATTTATTATTACTATTCATATTCTCCAATCTCTTCCACACTGTTAACCCATTTGTTGCAAAGTTTTCTTCCTCTCGTTTTCTCAATAGGGTTTGTGTTAGAAGCATGGTTCCAACGAGTTAAGAGTTAGAACATACATGTTGAAGAAGTATGAGGAAAATTTTAACCAATTATCGGTATCGATTGGAAATATATTTTAGTTTCATATATTCTCGATTGAAATATTTAACAGATGATGATCGACTGTATTGCCAAACTAATTGACTGTTATAAGGAAACAAGTATAGCTGATATAGCAAGTAATCTAATAATAACACTGATGATCTTCAAACAAGACTCAAACTCTAACAGAAGCAAGAAAATCTTCCGAAAGTTCAAAATAGATGAACATTTCAATCTAGCAGACCACTATTTTAATCTTCATGCAGTCATTGTTCACTGTGGTTCTGGCGTTGAATTTGGTCATTATTACGCCTTGGTCAATTCTTGATTTTATACCACTTTATATTTGTAACTATCGTTTCTGCAGTTTGGTCCTACAAGAACGAATACAATGAACTTAAATGAATAAGGAATAAACTGATATACGAAGTCAATCCGAACTGCTACAGCTTGTCAAATGTAGGAAGAGCTTTCTAAATTATATTGTGGTCTCGCTCAGTAGACGTGTGTTCGTTAAAAGAGGGTGAGTGCGACAAAGAGAGAGAGAGAATTTTCAAGTCTTATCCACGATTTGACTAGCTGTAAATAAAATACTAATGTACCGGGTCTGATAAATTTACTAGTTAATACCATATAAAACCTCCCACAAAAAAATAATGGTTACATCTCGTAATTTATACCACGCCGCCCATTCCATACAAAGAAACGGCCGACGTTCGGTAACTATTCTGTTCAAAACAAAATTCTATATAAATCAGTATAAACCACGACATAGTAGAATAAATATTTATTGAGATATGGAGCTACAAAAATGTACAAAACTTTTGAAATAACCAATAAAAGAAGTAAAACATTTTTGACCAGTAAGCAAGGAGTACATTGGAAACCCCTTCAAGAAGTAACTTAAAGTCAAGGAAGGAAATGATATTAAAGAAATGGTTGGAGAAATGAACAAAATATTTTCAACAATTACTGGAAGGAAGATACATCTACAAGGAAACTTACTGAACTCTCACGCAAACTGAAGAAGAAACAAGATTATATGAGTTTGAAATGATTCAAATTGGATAAATATCTGTGACCCAAAATATGTCTGTATTAGTAATAAAGATATAATGGTGATCCATCGATATGTTGATGTAAAAAATATGTATTACTTCTGAAAATTATTTATTTTTTCAAGACGTTTCACTCTGATACATCAATTTGAATCTGATTCAAAAAAGTATTATTCCTTTTGTGATTGTGTTGCTTATGGATGTACTTATATATTTGTGTATACTGGTACGTCTATTAATGTTTAATGTCTAGCTTGTAGTTAATCAGTTCACACTCAAGGTTTGTCTAATGTATTTGCAATACATTACTTGGAGCATTTTTGTATAACTCGTGTGAACATGTGTGTCAATAAATTATTATATTATTTTGAATAACGTAGGAAGTAAATGAACTTTATTTTAATGAAATTTTCAGAAATCTACAGTTCCTATTCGAATACATCAGAAACAACAACGCCTTTTCGATATTGTTCATCGATGAGGTAGACGGGTTTTGCAGAAAAAGAATTGATTCTGAGCAAGAGCATTCTAGAAGGTAATAAAAACCTTTCAAAAGACTCCTCAAATCGATTCAAAATAACCAACATTTTGTCTGCCCTTCCAGGATCAAAACGGAGCTGATGTGCCAAATGAGCAGGATCGAAGAAAACTCCAACATGTTCCTCATCTGCGCGACGAACTGTCCCTGGGACTTGGATACGGCTTTTTTGAGACGTTTTCAGAAACGGATTTACATTCCGCTTCCAGATAAATCCGAAAGATACGATCTCTTCAAGTTGTTCACGAAGGACATTGCCCTCGAGTTGAGTTCAGTCCAATGGGAGCACATCGTGGAAAAGACTGAGGGGTTTTCAGGTTCCGACATTTCTGACTTGGTACAGCAGGTAGATATTTCTTCTGAATTTTTGATAGAAATTTTCCATTTTCATACAGCAATATAGCGTTTCATTTTATGCTCTTCGATAGTTCTATATACGAGGCCGGTTAAAAAAAAAGGTTAATGTTAAAATTTAGCAGGCTACGTAAAGTTGATTGGCGATTTTATTTTTTCATGTTAGATCAAAGATTTTGCATCAAATTTTTAGTAAAGTGGTTATGTATACAATGTTGATAATTGATGCTTTTTTTGGTTTCAGCTCTGATTCATCTTAGTTATTTTATAGTGTTGTATATTTCTTGGGAAAAAGAATTCAATATTATTACTCTGTTCACAGGCCTTGAATATCCCCATCCTAGAACTCCAAGACTCGATAATCTGGAAAATGTATGCAGACAATTCTTACGAACCAGTCACAGACACGGACAATTTCAACTTGGAAAACATTGTGTGTCGCGAACTGGGTGACTTACCTCCGGGTTCGGTTAGAGTGAGGACTGTACGACCGTCGGACATTTTGAATTCTTTACAAAATGTCAAGCTGACCGTCAGCATGGATGACATAAGAAAATATGAGGCATTCAACAGCAAACAGTAATTTTTCTCGAGGAGTCATAGTTTGTTATTTCGTTTTCTGATTGATTTTGTTTGAAAGAAGGTTATTTGTGTACATGCTGAACTAAAAGAGGCCAAGGACGGATCCTTGGGGCATACTCACTAAAATTTTGATTTTTAGAAAAAATGAAATGAATCAAAACAGGTGCTTTTAATTTTTATTATCAACACTAACTTTTTTGAATTACATAGTAAGTGTGTTTAATATTAAATATTCAATTGCAAGATATTTCTTTGCATATATGTACAAAAAAGACACCTAATTGGAACACAATTTCTGGGAATGAAAGATTTCAAAATTGACACAGCCAAAACTTAAAAGTACTTTTTCCAAAAATGATATATGATTTTGTTTTGTTTTTTGAAAGAAAAATCAAATAAAACCTTTCAAAGAGTATTTCTTGGTGCTACGCTAAACTTATTAAAATAAATATGACATTTTTTCAACTTGTCAATTTAAAATCTTGAAAAAAACTTGGTTAAAAATTAGTTCTTCATTAAAAAAACGTTTGTAGATGTAGAAAAACATTTCGAAAGTCAAAAATAGACACTGAACTCCAAAAATCATCATACACTAATGATTTTGGAGATATTCTTTGGTTAGTTAGATTTTATTCATGCTTCTTTGAGCATGCTGGTAAAGTCTATTCAATAATAAATACTTTTATTTTTAGCTAAATGAGGTTACATTCGTTTAAGGCGCATGTCACTGGGTGCCAAAAAATATTACAAAATGTTAAACGCCTAAAAAACAAAAAATTAAACAAAAATGAGTTCATGTTATAATAAACTGGTTTTCATTTCAAAAATTTATTTTCTAGGTGAATTCAAAACAAGTTTTTATGAACTAACCTAAGAGTGGAGCACAAACTTCATTTTGTTAAAAAAAAAACAAAGAAAATGAAAAACTGTCCAGATTTGTACTAGAATTAGTACCTTGTAACAAGTTAAGTTACTCGTGGAATAAATTGCACTTGCCAATACAATTGAAAAACATTGTAAATAACTGTACATTCACTATCTACTAAATCTATTCATAAATATTTTTCTCACAATGGAAATCTCAACAGACAAGAAGGATTTTTTTTTTATGAGGTCACTTAGAGATTGAACACACAACAAAAGGAAGCTGACGTTCTACTTGTATTCTATAAAAACAATTTATGTTCGTTTAAGAATGACCCAAGATTCAAAAGAAAAAATTAGTTTTCTATTTCCCTTGAAATTCGCTTTATGGAACTGGGTGAACTACCTGTCACCTGAACCCAAAACAAAGAAAATAAGAGAGCAGATTTAATCGAGATCATTGCCACAAGACGGCACTGCAAAATTCAAGGAAACCAAAGAAATATGTTTTATCCCTCATACTTCAAGGATGTTATTTGAACAAATTGTCACAGCCAAATGTATTTCTCTACGACCTTAGGAGAGAGATGAAGGAAGGGTTATTTGATACCTTCATCTGCCATCACCAAGGTTAAAAGATGATTTGGTTCAGATGGCAACGCGAAAACACTTTCCAGCTTGTTTCTTGGATCCTTGCAAAGTGCACTTCCTACTCAGGTTTCTTAACGAAAAATTACTAGTCTTCGTCTCCTGTGAACCAGATGATTTCCCAGCCTTAGACTTGCTGGAATTTATGGATACGTGGCGGTTGTTTACTCCTGTGTGGTGTGGTTCCTCCCACCCCCTCGCTTCAGTTTTGTCAGTTCTATTTGATTCCTTGGAGTGTCCCGATTGGGTAGCTGTTTGCTAAGAAGATACCCAGGATTTAGGGCAGAACAGAACCTGCACAAAATCAAACTATGGTTTGAACTCCGTGCTCTCTCCAGCACTGCTATGGATGCATCGTCAACAGGTCCATATTTGACCACAGCCTAAAATTTCCTTATGAAGAATAGTCCAATACATGGTTGATAGAACATGGTTCAGTTTCCACAATCTAGAGGGTAACAACATTATAATGAATTTTGAAAAATAACATAACTTCATTTCTCAGTCTTAGATAATTTGCGATACATAGATTATATTATAGAGTCAAAGTAAAATCATCTCTTTTAAAGTGTTCACTGTGCATGGACACATTTTCTGATACATAATTATACAGTGCTGGTCACGGGGTACTTCATTACGTTTATGTAATTTTCTTGGATTTCTGTTATAAAAACATGAAACATTCAGAAAATTCTCGAATGGCGTCAAAAGCTCTAGGGCCAGTCTTGACACTTTGAGATTTCTGGAGATCCTCCCCAATACAAGAACTGTGTTGAATCTGGGCTCATGACTCATATCGAGTCCCAAAGCTAAAAATGTAGAAGAAGAATGGGTTTTTCCATTGAGTAAAACCCCAGCTTCACAATTTATGCCTAAGAAAATGCAGTTTGTGTGGTGTTATCATAAAACAAAATATCAAAATTTAAATAAAATTGAAAATTCTATCCCTACTTGTCGATTTCCTTCCTGCCATTTACATCATCGCCATTCCTTACTAACTAACGCCTAAAAACTACTCACGCTCTCCCTGTCCTGCGATTCGTTGAGTCGCAATGGCTGAAGGGGCGCCGTAGAAGGTTCCAGATCGGGGGCACTGCCCCACTGACCACGGCACATCATCCTGTCATCGTAAAGTGAGAATCTCGTGGCCGAATCGGCCGCTGCCTTGCCTCTTGTCCGCCTCACAGAGGGCGGTACGTCGCCAGGCGTTTTTACCCTCTGAGAGGGGTCCTTCAGTCTCGAAAGGTCGCTAGTCGATGAGAACACCTGTTGAGAGAAATTTGTTAAGTCAACAGATTTTCTAACAATTAAAATTCCATTTTTCTTTCTTTGACAGAACCATCGAAAATACACTGCAAGACAAGCCAAAAATAAAAAAACAAGAGTTATTTGTTTGTAATGGGGAAAATTTTGATTTTCAATACATTGCTCAACAATTTTTCACAGAGAAAAAGCTTCATTTGGCAAAATTCAAGTAACCAATGCTTTCTAAGAATTGTTTGAATTATTACTGTTAATCAAGAGGTAGCAATTTGAAGTAATTTTTCTGTTATTACTAATAATTCATCATTACTAGAGTTGATTGTATCATTATTGATAATCAATTAATAATTTTAGTCGAGTTTTTCTGAATATTCACAAGATAACCAGGAGTGGCGCTATTATTTGAAAGAATGAAAAAGTACATGCATGTTTCCTATTCCACCTGTGTTTTGAAAATCAATTTCTTTGATTCTGGATGAACTATCAGTTGCTAAGCCCAAGTAGAGGAAAAATAAGAGGAATTGGGGCTATTGATTGGTCCTATAACCAGCTCCACCAATGCCAAAACGCATTCAAATAAACTTCTTACCTCGTTAAACTGCTCCAGTGACCTCTGCCGCGACAAACTGTTATCACGCCTTGCGATTTGCGAAACACCGCAATTGTTCTGCACCTGCGCCTCGGCTGCCTTTAGAGGCAGCGAAGAAGGACGCGTCGTTTCCCCCTGGTGTTCGCGCAACAACGAAGTCGTAACGCCGTTCTGCACCTTCGTATTCAACTTGACCTGTGTGTCTTTGCAACCGCCCGTAGAGCTCGAGTGCCTCTTGCCGCTTAGGAAGTTTTTAAGTCCGTTCCACTTGAATTTCGTTTTGTTCACCGTTCTGTAGCAGGTGTTTTGCTGCTTCGGGGTGCCCCCGTGCACAGCGTTCTGGACGTACGGGATCGGCGCAGCTCGGTGGTTGATCTGGAAGTTGAGGAACTCGTTCGGAATGAGGTTCTGAGATTCCAAGCCGCTGCAGTGCTTCGAGGATTTGTCGATGAGAAGGCTGTCGCTAGAGCCGGACATGAGGTTGCGTTCTAGGCAAGGATTTCTACCTTCGGGGGAAATAGAAAGTCAGTGATGGGTTCGTCAGTTGCAAAAGACGGCAAATCATTGACGAAATCATGCAACAATTGTCGAGGCTGGGCTGAGAACTGGATTTTGAGCCCAAATGAAAAAGAGAAGAAGAAAACGGGCCGTTTAGTTGAAACTATAGTCCAGCCTCAGATCAAGTTTGATGGATTTAAGGGTTCTCACTCCTTTTAATTGAATCAAATATGGAAGGTGAATTACTAAATTTGCTCAGGAATTTCGAAAAAAAAAAATGAGGAAATGAACATTCCTTGTCAACAATTGTTTTTATATATTTTTGTAATAAAGTTATTTCTTGGGATGAATAACAGAATATTTCATTTGCACTAATATACAAAAACCATAGCGAAATTCCATCTAAGTACACTAAATCTTCATGTCGGTGCTGCAGCAATACCTAACACTTCAAGTCCACAAAAAAACTGATAAGTAGAATGGGCTTGTTGAAGAAACATGAAACCCAGACTCAGGACTAGTTTCTACTTTCCCTCCGGTTTTTTTTTTGTGAATTTCAAACAAAACCTATGTAGAAATTGAAACTCACCTTGGTAAGGCTGTAACGGGGTAACGCACACCGCCAGCTGATTCGAGTTTTTGCAGTTCTCCTCTGACGGGGATAGAAGCGTCTCTATGGTGTTGACGGAGGCGTCGAATTGGTGATCGTGCAGATGGTTGTTGTTGATCAGAGGGGTGGGACTTGCAGGCGGGTGGGTGAGGGTGCAAGACACGCCCTTTTAGTGTAGGGAGTTCTGTCAGGCGTTCCGCGACACAGAGGGCGGTCAGACGAGCTTCAGCATCCTACAAATGAAGAATTTTAAGGCATTGAAGGTATTTTCTTTTGGTTAGAGATATACCTGATCCCAACAGTCTTCAGCGGTTTCGCACAGCATCCTAGCGGCCGTAGTGTCTTTCCAGGACACAGGCCACAGAGGTCTCACTTTCTTTCTGCTCACGAGGGATTGCATTTGCTCTAGGGATGGATTTTCACCGGCCTCCTGAATGATAAAGACAGAAATGACTGAAATTGAACGTTACAAACTCTTCGTATGATTACCTTGGAAAACGGTGGAGCATACTGGCTTGGTTCGGCATTTTGCATGTCGGAACATCTGCTACCGAGTTCCCATAAGACAAGACCCAGAGCATAGACATCTATCTGCTTGAGAGCGCTTTCACAATCACGAAGATTCACTGCACCTTCTAGGACTTCGGGTGCCATATATCGTAGGGTACCTGAAGAAAAACGTGAAGTAAGAAACCTCATGATGAAAAGTAACATAGAAACGCATTAACGGCTACATCCATCAATTAATTAAAAAATTTTTTTTCACAAAGATGTTTTAACTCAATTATAATGAACGTAATGGAGAATACAAGTTAGGCCAGAGAGTTCCAAACAGTAAGAATTTTAGGTTAACACCAACTAATCATATGACATAACAAATGAATAAGCGTCACTATTTTTCGGTTTTGAAGGCAGCCAAATTCGCTTGCACGAGTGGCTAGCTTCTCCAGAGGTTTATAAATCCCAAGTTTATCTCCGATGACTGGATATTACAGCTGCGTAAAGCATATTTATGTTGTCTCAGGTAATTTGGTGTGCTAAGACCTTTACCCGGATCAGGTAAATTACGTAAAGCGCGTTTGACCCAGATAGTCTGGTGTGATAATAAATATCCTTAGATCAGGTAAATTGTGTAAAGGGTTTATATGTTGTCTCAAGTAACTTAATGTGGTAATACCCGTACCTGGATCAGGTGAATTGCGTGAAGCGCGTTTATATTTGCTCGGATAATCTGGTGTGATGATACTTGTATCTGATGGATCATGTAAATTGCGTAAAACACGTTTATATTGACTCATATAGTCTGGAGTGATAATACCTGTATCAGGTAAATTGCGTGAAGGGTGTCTATGTTGTCTCAGATAATTTGATGTGCTAACACCCGTATTAGGTAAATTGCGTTTATATTTGCTCAGATAGTTTGGTGTGATGATACGTGTACCTGATGGATCAGGTAAATTGTGTAAAGGGTGTTTATGTTGTCTCAGGTAATTCGATGTGCTAATACCCATACCTGGATCAGATAAATTGTTCAAAGCTCGTTTTTATTGGCTCAGATATTCTGGTGTGATGATACCTGTACCTGGATTAGGTAAATTGCGTAAAGCGCGTTTATATTGACTCATATATTCTGGTGTGATAATACCCATACCTGGATCAGGTAAATTGCGTAAAGGGTGTCTATGTTGTCTCAGATAATTTGATGTGCTAATACCCATACCTAGATCAGGTAAATTGCTTGAAGCGCGATTATATTTGGTCAGATTGTCTAGTGTGCTGATGCCTGTATCTGATGGATCAGGTAAATTTCGTAAAGGGGATTTATGTTGTCTCAGGTAATTTGATGTGCTAATACCTGGATCGGGTAAATTGCGTAAATCGCGTTTATATTGACTCAGATAGTCTGGTGTGATGCTACCTGTACCTGAATCAGGTAAATTGCGCAACTGGTGTTTATGTTGTCTCAGATAATTTGATGTACTAAGACCCGAACCTGGATCAGGTGAATTGCATAAAACGCGTTTATATTTGCTCAGATCCTCTGGTGTGATGATAACTGTACCTGGATCAGGTAAATTGCCCAAAGGATGGTTATAGTGTCTCAGGTGATTTGATGTGCTAACACCCGTACCTGGACCAGGTAAATTGCGTAAAGCGCGTTTATATTTTCTCAGATAGTCTGGTGTGATACATGTACCTGGCTCAGGTAAATTGCGTATAGCGAGTTTATATTGACTCATATAGTCAAGTGTGATAATACCTATACCTGGATCAGGTAAATTGCGTAAAGGATGTTTATGTTGTCTTAGTTAATTCGATGTACTAATACCCATACCTGGATCAGATAAATTGTTTAAAGCTCTTTTTAATTGGCTCAGATATTCTGGTGTGATGATACCTGTACCTGGATCAGGTAAATTGTGTAAAGGTTGTTTGCCGCGAAATGCTTGAGCATTTTGCAGATGACAAAGTTCATTGGCAAAGGATTTTAAATGTTGTATTTGATTTACTTACCAGCTTCGCTGATGGCTTTGTTCTCGGAAATTCTTGGTGCCACTGCCAAACCTAGATCGCAGATGCAACACGAGAGATCGGCCCTAACCAAAATGTTTCTGGTATTGATGTCCCTGTGCACAATGGAAGGTTTTCCTATGTCCGAGTGCAAATGGGCCAAGCCTCTGGCAATGCCTAGGCTCATTTTGCTCAGTGACGCCAGATCAACAGTGTGCATTTTAAGATACTCCTAATAACAATATCAACTGTCATAAAAACACAATATTTATATACATACTATGAAATATGAAAGAAGTTATTTCTAAGACTTTAGTAAAGTTTATCTCAAACAAGTTGCGATGCCACTATTTCAGAAAACTTGAAAATGAATCTAACGAAAATACAACCTGAAGACTTTCTTGTTCGAGGGCCAGTAACAAGACGTAATCAACGGATCCGGGCATTATGGAGTACTCCCCTCCTCCATGGAACTTCAATAGGCCGGCATTTTCTCCAGCTATTTTGTACATTTCGTGTTCGTTGAGGAAGTTGTTCCTATGATGGGCCGGGAACACTTTCACNCAGATGAAGGATTGTAATAAAAAGAATCATAGCTGTTATAAAATACAAACTTTTCGCGTTTATGTTACATTCTGAGCAAATATATTTTCTTTTTAGTTATTTTTGTGTTTATGTTCCTGAATTCGCATTGTATTTTTATTATTCACTTACTATTCACCTACATAAATCTTCTAATGTACAAGGTATCGCCGTGGGTGATACAATGACAATAACGAAAATAATTGAATGACTGATTTATATCTCTGTCCCGGTTCAAAGGAACCTTACCTATGATATTCAGCATCTTCAGCTTCTCCAAACTGTAATCGGCTGGAGGCGGCAGAGGCTGTTGACAACACTCGACGTCGCTTTTCCTTGGCCTCAGCCTCCAGAAGTAGTAAGAGACCATCGCCATGACGGCCACAAAGATGAGAAAGACCACCACGGTCACCATGTAAACGATGGGGTTGAGCGGGGTGATGGGGGGAGGCTCATCGGACGGGGGCGGGTCATCCACTGGTACATACGCGTCCGTAAAGTTGGCGTTGCACTTGCTTTGGTTGCAGCAGCAGAACTTGGTGCTGTTCATCGCCTTCGGGGGCTTCTTGTCTGCTATGCAGGCCGCTCTGTCGCAGTCGTTCGGTTGGCTGGATATTTCCCAACATCCTGTGAACAAAAATAACCCATTAGAAGTTTGCGACCCTAATTTTTCACATGAGTACACTGAACTGACTTCAATAACTACTTAGGAGACACTTTTTTACTCTATTCAGGGTGTATATTTGAAAAAAGTGTTTAATTTTTAGAGCAGTTCAGGCACACCCTGTATGAAACTTGTTATGGCGCAAAATGTAAGTGATTTATCATATAGAAAGGTGTAAGGAAACGACTGATAGGAAAATCATCCTCATCAGAAGGCGAAATAAAAAATGGAGTACCGCAAGGCTCAATACTGGGACCGATACTTTTCTTGTTATACATCTATCGATATAGAAAGAAAATTTACTCTATTCGCTGATGATACCACAATATTATAGTGTGACATAATTTCCATGAGATTAAACCCCATCTATACATTCCCGAGAGGAAAAGAGGAAGTCCAGGGACACCCTGTATATGTATATATAGTTGTATGGTGACTGAAGAAAATTTGCAGCTTTGACAATAAGATCTGATGTTCTTTGGGCAATAAACCATATTATTATTACTTGTAAGTCAGAGTTATAAGGTATATAGCACTCGATTGGGAAAAGTAAAATTATAGTACGGCCTCTACAATCACCAGATTTGTCACCACTTGATTTTTTTCTTCTATAAATCGAATCTATAGAACACAACCAGCATCTTTAGAAAATTTGGTTCAAAGAATTGTTGATGAGTGCCATTGAAAATATTCAGAATGTATGAGAACTTTCTGATGTCCATCTGTTTGAAAGTTTTCTTTCTCTTAAAAAGGATGACTCATGTTATAACTCTGTTTCAATTATGCTTAACCACCCTGTTTAATACAGCAATCTTATATAACATAAGAAAAGTGAGAATAAGGTGCATTTCATAAAAAATTAGTTACAACTCAACAGATTTTTGATGTACTATTTATATGGGGTCATTTTCCATCAATAACAAAATTTTGGTGCCTCTACAAAAACATCACAATTGATAGTCAAAAAACAATAATTCGTCTCTAGAGAAGGCTGTAAAAACTTGGTGAATTCTCAACTGTAACTCACTTAGAAGCTCTTGAGATTAAACCAATCTATTCCACTATTAATCAGTCAAGACTACTCAAGAGTCAAGTGAAATAATTCGGTTTTTCATCTCATGCAAAGTGCTATATTTATGAGTAAGTGCTCCTTGAGATATTGAATAGAGTTTTTTGTGGGGCCATCTGGAATGAAACTACTTGTTAGCAATGAAAAAACCAAGTCATGATTTCATAACTCCTACTGAGAGTTGTGTCCGCATCATAAACTACTTTGCATCCATATTCAACATATTTTTCAATAATTGTCAAGTTCTCAGAAAATCCATGCATTTGAAGAGTGCGAAAGTCATGAATATTAAAGTACCTATATCTGAACAGGTATTTTCTTGGCAAAGACATTTTAAATCATGCGACAAAAAAGTAACTAGACAAGTTTGAGACAGACTGCAAAACAACTGGAGACACTACCAAAGTATGAATGTATAATTCAACCAATTAGTTGTTTCTTCCTTTTGGAATAATAAATATAGAAAATGGTATTCGAAGGCAAATGGTATTTGAAGACAGATTTGTTATTGGATAGGATTTTCTATAATTACACCTATTTTCAAAAAAGGGGACCCTGATAATATTCATAGTCACAAACTGATTAGTTTGTACTTTTATTATAATAATAATTAACATTTATTCATGGAAAAATACAAGATCGTTTTGATGGAAGGAACAAAGCGCTTGGTAAAATAAATAAATTTTTTCAGTACAGTAGTTTTTTGGAAACCTATTCGGCTTTCTACTTCTCCATAATAAAACAGAAATTGTGAGAAACTTTAAATGAATGTTTTCCACATTTTTTGTTTAGTGATAGAGAAATGGAAACCCAATAAGCTTTTTTCAACAAAAAACAAATCTCTCCTAAAATATTATCTCTCCAATTTGAATGGTTTTTCATTTTTAGGAATCAATTGTGTATTTTCCGTTTTTTCATTTCTTTTTACTTTTTTTAATTTATTCAACGGCAAAGCCAATTTACAAAAACATATTTAACNTCTTAATCAATGAATAATGTAGATCAAACTATAAAAATTATAAGTTATCAATGAGAAAACATTTTTCTTTGTAAAACTGAGGCATACCATTATTCGGACAGAAGCAAGTCAGAACAAACGTTCACGTGACCTTTTTTTCATAAAATGTGACAAGTAATCACCACCTGAAATTAATGACATCATTTAAGATACACTCTGTATATTAAAGGAGTTTGTGACTTTCTATTTCAAAATAAATCTATCTTTAATGAAAACTCTGTATCACACGATTATACTACATCTATAACTAAAAGGACTTTCAATAAATATATGAAATTTCAAAAAAGATTCGAAAAAAATATTTGTTACGTCAGCCAATTTATAGTCTAAAACATTTTTTTGATTCAAGTATGCATAGTATTTCCTTTTCTTTCAATTTTGACGTAATTTCACAAAATCTATGCTGACAAGTGTATTTTAGTGAATAAAGATTATTATTACTATAACGCTTTTAGTTAATGATATGGATTTTTGCAAGTTGGCAAATAATAACAATAATTCAATTTTTTCTCGTCCAGATGTGTATCATTGCAAGGTATATTTACTGGCAGTTGGGCATGAAAACATGTACCACTCATTAATTAACAATTTGATTGCCAACGTTTCGGTGAAGTTTGTCGCCATCTTCAGGGCCAAACGGTATATATGAGTAGGTTGTTCAAGTATAATACGAGTTTTTTTTGTGGGAAATCTGTCAAAAATGTAAAGTTTAAAAAATATGAGGTTTATGAACAACTGAGACCATTAAACTTGATGAAATGATAATTATTATCATTTCATGGATTATAATTTCAATATTTTCAGAATTCCATTTTATCCAACTAGGCGGCAGAGGCTGTTGACNATTACCTAGTGCAGTTTTGTAAAATTTATTAGTAGTTTCAGTAGTTGAAAGCCTTTCTCCTGGTTCTTTTTATGTTTCCAAAAATTAAATTTTTGATAGATCAAAAGCAATTAGAAAATGATGTTATCTAACAAATATCTGAAGCAGCAAAGGGGTTATACTTGGAACGTAAAACTTAGCGTATGCTATGGCTTGAAAGTAAAATACTACAATCGCTTGACTGACTGTTGTTACATACTGGTAATGCATAGAATAATTAAAAAAGTGTATTGTCTTTTTTTCTTTGAATCTGAAGCAAAAGCTTACCTTGTCCCATAATTTCAGTTGTTCCATTATTGGGGTCCTCGAGCCACACAGTATAACAGTACTTGTTCCTATCCTTACATATCTGATAAGGCCCAGCATCAGAATCCACATCGTCAGTTATAATAATGTGTGCAGAGGATCCCACTGAATGCACACAAAATACAGGTTCTTCAGAATCCTCTGAGAACACTCCAGCACAAAGAATGGGAAAAACTAGAATGCTCCAAAGTGACAACATCTTTGCAGCTTTGTTTATCAGAGAAGTTCCATTTTCATAATAGTTGCTTAGGTTTATAAACTAGGAGGTTATTTGTTTGTATTGATTAAACATCACACTTGGGTGACATCAAATTGACTGTCAGCAAGGCCCATTCCAGCGGTCACACACTAGAATTGAAATATCGAATCTCAATTAATATTTGCTCACTAATAATTATGAATTCAAATCACAATATAGGACTCCACAGAAAAATAATCACCCTGTCGAGAAAAAGTACGCAATGGTGTTACTCTTAACTGAATCGGATGATATTTGGACCATGTTCAATATAAATCGCCGAACAAAGATGAGACGACTCTAGAGACTCATATATATAACGTTATTTTGTAATTAAAGTATTTTTATCGCAAATCTGTCTCGACAGACCCTCCTCACTGGCGTCACGTGACTATGAAAAAAACTGACACTAGTGACAGTGCCATATGCTGACATCTTGCGATGTAATTCTGGGTAATAAGTAAAGACACCTGTAGTGCTGACTGTTTGCTTTTTCTATTCAAAGTTAGATGGCTGCACAGTGTACACAGAGGATACAGAGTTCTATTCGGTGATTCACGGAGTGGGCGACGTCTAGGTATTATAAATCGAACATCAGCCATAAGGAAAATGACGATATTGGTATTGAACAATGGTATTGACAAGGAACCGTTCTGTCAACCGTAGTTACAAATATTCAATTATTCGTTGTTGCATCTATTTATTTTTTTACAGAAATGCAAAAAACATTTAATGCACACTCTAACTCAAATCCAATTAAACCTGAAGAAGATAGATTATTAACTTCATGAAATGAACAAAAATAAAATAAGAAAAAAAGCCGTGGGAAATATTATAACTTATCTTTTATGCCTTAAATGATATTTATTCGTACACAAACGTCAAATTTTAAATTTTGTGAGGTTAATTGTTTATATTTTTTGACAACTGTAAATGACAATATGACGTCACTCTGTATATTAAAAATTGCAGCAAACGTATAAATTTGATTATTACTTGTGAAATGTTTATTTTGAGCCAGTTTAATTCAAAGTAATCAAAGTATTTAAAAATGAACGTTTCTAGAATGTGTTCTAAGTTGCCACACAGAAACTTGTTCTGGAAGAAAAAGTAAGTACTTTCTCATTTATTTCTCAGCTCTTTTCATACATCCAGATAATATTTTGGCTAGAGATTTTCATGGAGTTTTCAGTATGTAATATTATCACTTGTAAACATCATTCAAATCACATAAATATATATCCAAATTCCAACAATAGATACCTATAATTTTTTGTAATGGTCTAAGAATAATTTAATTCCTTGTTGAGTCAGTATATCTCTGAAAACACTACAATCAAATTATTTCTGTTCCAGAATGAACTTTGGAAAGTACAAAATCGTCGATATTGGTAATATATCTCCCATGGTATCAGTTCCGGAGTATATTAAAAAGCCTAGTTATCATGAAACGGGTATTCCTTCAGAAACTGTGCCTGAGCATCCGGAAATCAAGAACCACGAACAGATTTCTAGGATGCGAGATTCTTGTAGACTAGCCGCCTATGTTTTAGACAAAGTGGAGAAATTTATTGAGGTAAAGTGAAAGTAAGTGCATAGTAAATTCATAAGGTTTTATAATGATGATAATATTGATGAAACTTCATCCTCCAACAGAAATAAATATACATAAACGAAGGTTATACAAACATATAACTTTGGAAAAGGTAAAAGTGCAATTGCTGATTTTTTTATTATGTATGATAGCTTAGACTCAAGTAATAAAACCTTGGGTATCTTTCTAGACATTAACAGACCTTTCAGGCATAACCCAACTTTTATTTACTTTTTACTCCTACAAACACAATATTGAATTGTAATTAAAAGTAAGAGGATAAAACTACAGTAACAAAATAAGCTTTCTTCCAGTTTTCAGAAATTCACACCTAATCAGTAGAACCCACAGAATAAACTCTGGGAATATTTTCATTTTTAAAAATGCAAAAATGAAGAATCAGTTTTGTCTCACATCTGTATTTGTTCCAGGTGGGAAAAACCACAGATGACATTGACGTACTAGTGTTCAAAACCTGCATAGAGAACAACGCATATCCATCTCCTCTAAACTACAAGCACTTCCCAAAGTCCGTTTGCACGTCCGTCAACAATGTGGCGTGTCATGGCATACCCGACGATAGGCCTCTGCAAGATGGAGATATTATCAACGTGGACGTTACAGTAGGTACAACAAAAATAACCCTCCAGTTGAATAGATGAAAATTATTCTCATTGACCCTTAGGTATATTACAATGGGTTCCATGGCGACTGCTCCAAAACGTTTCTCGTGGGTCAAGTTGATAATGATGGCAGAGACCTCGTGAAGGCAACAGAGACATGTTTGAATGAAGCGATTCAGATGTGCAAGCCAGGGAAGTTTTTCAGGGATATCGGGGCTCTTATTGAAGAGAGGGCTTATAGTTTGGGGTATCAGGTTGTGCCTGCTTTCATAGGTCATGGAATTGGGCATTATTTTCATGGACCGCCTGATATATACCACACAAGTAAGTTGCATCTTTTTTTAATTTCAGTTTGTGTACGAAGTATTTGACAGTTCTATCTTCCACGTGCTGATGAGAGCACTGTGGTTTTTGATTAAGTGTTCGTTGTAGTGCAAATTCGATTCATTTTCTAATTTGACAATAATAATAGTGTTTCATGTTTAAAATGAAAGTTGTTAACAGAATTATGATTGAGATGAGGAAAAATATAACATTTTGAGATCCAACAAAAACATTTTTGAATAAAAAACATCTTTTTTTTATATGGTCAGTGAGTTTTTCCAATTAAAATAACCTAATCTGTACTTCTAAGTATTTAATACTTTCATAGATTTGAAAAGCATTGTGGTAGGTCCTAATTTGGTCATGAATTTTTATAATGAACAGAAGGAATATGTATTGTTTTTTCGAAATTTTCCATAAATAAAATAATACACCATTTTTTAATAACTCTAAGGTCTATTTCTACAATCTTTTTTAAATCCCTTCTATTTTTTCTGAAGGGTTTGGCCAAAGCTTGATGAAAATTCGTAATAGAATTACACTTCTTTCAAAGTTAGTTTAGAGTATGGAAAACTTCTCCCACCCATCAGAACATCCTTGCCGAGGCCCAGTCAGTATTATTTGGACCTACATTTCCAGAGGGAATTTGATTTCTAATACTGCAGTTTTACAATACAAGTGTTCAATAACTTAGGTGTACAAAACTATTACCTTTATTACTGAAATTGGAAAATATTTTACACATATGTTTATTATATAATGTCAAACAAAAAAACACGAATCCTACTGACTGCGCCGTGTGAAGGTTTTTTTCATAGGAATATTTTGTTAGAAACTATCCTCATTGAGGAAGAAATGACAATTCAAAATAAGTATACAACTTACATGTTGTTTCGTCTTCTAAAAGCAATAAATAGGTGTTATTTATTTTATACAAAACATCCAGACGGAAATTATGCTGGCATGTGGTCATGATAACTATCACAATTGCCATACAAAGCCTGAATAGTTCTAGAATGTTTCACAGAAGATAAAAGAGGCTCACCAAGAAATATAACATGTAGTGTTCCACATGGTTCAATTCTAGGACCATTTATTTTTATGTAAACATTCAATTTCAGAATTGAGTTTAAGTTATGAAATTGAGCTATTGCAGATGACAAAAATCTATTTAAATTTCTCCAAAGTATCAAACTACGCAATCAAAATATGAAAGATTAGGTTTAAAGTATGCAGACATATAAAAGAATAACTTTCAAACCAAGCTTCTTCTCGATGTTTTGTTAGTATACACAATCGTCTTTAGCTGATAACGTGTTTATTCTTGATACTTATGAACTTTTTTTTGGGCGCTCTTCTGCATCCCTTTTAGTTTTCTGATTCGGTGCACTGCAGCCCGTCTTAACAATGTTCCTTGAGATCAAGAAGTGAAGATTGATAGCTTGAAACAGAGCACCCTTCAGGTTGTCTTTAAAATTCATCCAAAGAAATAATTTAAAACAAGATTCCTTCGAACATTCTTTTCCACAGGAAACAACTACCCCGGCATAATGGCGCCTGGAATGACCTTCACTATAGAGCCGATCTTGACGCAAGGCAGTGAGATGATAGAGATTCTGCCTGATGACTGGACAGCCGTGACGGTAGACGATTCTCGAACGGCTCAATTTGAACACACCGTCCTGATTACGGAGTTGGGTGCTGAAATTTTGACAACGACCACTTGATTATGTAGATGTGTTTTTGTATGAAGCGTACGTGTGTTATTTTCTCAAAATTTAACTTATTTTAATAAGAAATTATAGGAAAAGTAGCTAGTTTTATTAGATTTTCAAAGTCATTGGAAGATATTTACAAAATCATCCCAACTTCTAGTATTACACCTAGGTTAGTAAAAAAAACAATTATTCAGTGCAATTATCGATTTTAGTACCTTTACAATAATTCAAATTTTAAACACGATTAATTTAATGGGTCCCAGTTACTAAATACAATTTCAAACGAATACAACCATTTTTTTCATTACTATTTATCAATTTTAGCGCACTGTCCTATAAGGCAGCAGGCGCACGTGTTAATAAAAAAAAATACTTTTTTCAAATGAATAAATACATATAAAGTGAGTTCGAATTATATCAAGGAGGTTACGTACAGCCCCATCTACCCACGGATAGATCAAGCAATAATGTTGCTATATCAAGGAGGTTATGTATAGCGCCATCTGCCCGCGAATAGATCAAGCAATACTATCAATAATTCTGTCAAATACAAACATACTATACATGTGAAGCTAATAAAAGCGTGTTAAATAAAAAAAGTTTCGGTAAATGAGGGGTTGAAATAAAAACACACCTTCATTGAGATTTTTTTATATATAAACTTTATGTACAGTGTACATTTTTTAAAATTTTACTGTGTACATATTGCTCTCCCTTTGGACTCCTTAAAACTATTTTTACAACAATCCAAAGCGAGTAATCCATGCGAAAATAACCAAATCTTCTATATTTTACATACTTTTTACAATGTCGCGATACGTTCGCTTCGAGGACAACTTTTCGTATAAAATGGAATGTTTTATACTACGTAGAAAACTAATTTCTCATTGGTTATTTTCCCATTTTCTACAATCTAATATTTACATGGATGGCTTAAAATGCTGACATATCTTTACAAAGCATTTTCAACTTTCTATCATATAAAAATAGAGTTTGTACTTAGTATATATATTCATATAACATTTTCCAAGATTCGTTCAACGAAAGCAAGTCAAATAAAAAAAAAATGATAAGTTTTTTCACCCATGAAATGAAATTAAAAGACGCATTCACTTCAATCTAAAAAGAGCTTTTAAAAAAGGCTTTAAAACGTATAGAAAATGGGTACATTTAAACTACTAGAAAAAGAAATTTGTATTCCTACCGAACAAAGAAAATTCACGAGTCCAATTGACATCCCCCACTCCCCAGTCAAACACATCCCTATAATTTGACATCAAATAGTAACGTTCAACAGGATTTCTCATAGAAGTTCAACAATGAATCAGTTCAAATGCATTATGCGACAGCTGTCTCATCATTTCCGAATTTTGTGCACCTCCAAACTAAATATGTATATACGTACGAATATACAAGCTTCCAAAGAAAATACTTCGTTGTTCGAAAATTGTCACTACGGCTCTCAGCCTTATTCAATTCGAATAAATAATTTGCTTCAAAGATTATGTCAACACGTTTAAATAACAGAAAATAAAAAAATAACATATAATATATAAAGCTGATGGTGAAAAGAAAAAGGATAGCCTGATCGAAAATAGTGCTCGTTTTTTGTGTGTCTCACAAGAAAATTTTAATGAAGTCTTTTGTACTATAAAATATAATAAAAAAAACGTGAATAATGTCGAGAGACTAAATATAAACAGTCAACAGTTTTATATAAACAATCCTGGTCGATCCAATATAAAAACGCGATGATCCAAAAATGAGAAGTTGGAGACAAAATAAAATAAATATAGCTTAGTCGGATTTTTTCTTAGAGATAAAACTTTTGCTTCTCATTTTCAGAGTGCAACACGCTCAAAAAATATAAATAGGGCATTCATTTTTCCACTACGGGGAGAAACTTATTCTAACAATTAAAATATCTGTACAAAACAAGTACAAGTTTGGTTCTTAAACTATCAATAGATATAAAAAAGTATCACTTCGAGGGCTTTTTTTACAAATTGGGTTAATAAATTAATTCTTTAAAGCATAAAAACAATATTGAATCAACAACATAGAATTTCTCTTACATAAAAGTTTCAAGAGGTAACGAATCGTAGAACAATTTTACAATTTATTCGTACGTGAATTCAATAAAACAAGTGCTTCACTCAGACATCAATACCAACCAAATGAAAAAAATTATATGGCCCATCCCTAAATCAAAAGAAAACCAATCCAAGATTCATTTTTAATCATATAATTTTATGTTATAACATCTGGAAATATTTTGTCTGTCTAGTGCTTAAAAATATTAATATCGGGGAAATGTCAAAGTTTATTTGAACTTTACAAAATGGAGCAAGAAAAAAAACTGACCAAAATAATTTTTTATTTGTAATAGTTTCAATGTAACTTACAATTAACTGGTTAATTCAAATGCTTATTCAATTGCTTGATGCTTGAAAAATATGGAGGTGATGTAGATAATCTAGAAATTTGAAGTATAAATGTAAATCACAACCAAATAAACAATCGAAATATTCATGTTAATTGACAAATGGAGGAAATTACTGGAACATGAAACTAACTGGTTAACGATATTTTGTTCATAAAAGTGATATGGTTCGTTTTTGAGATTGGTTTTAGTTCTCCAGAAACCAAATAATGAGAGGTCTCAAACATTTTTTCTTTTTGCAATCGACCGTTTCAAATATTTAACCGGTTAACAAAATAATCGCATTCGTCCACCTGCTCCGCGTCGCTCTTAAATCCATACCTCTTGAAACTTTTAATAAATAATAACGAAAAACAAAACGCCAAGAGAGATCCAAGAGGAACATCCAAAATAAATTCACACAACACGAAAAGTAAAGTCTAACCCCCGAATTCACTTCACAAGGAACTGCGTAAAGTCATTCGTGCATCAACAACTCATATAAAATGACATAACAAAAACAACCGAAAAAATATGCGCAGGACAACCTTAGATCAAACGTAAAGACGTCGGGAGCTCGACAGCGACGAGGGGCAGCTCAACCAAGGAGTGGAGCATTAGGTAAGTTTATCAACTTTCAGCTTCTACACTATTCTGTCTAATAAGAAATAAAGTAATTAAGTACTCAAACAAAACAAAAAAATGTTTTTGTTAATTCTATCTGTAACTTCTCAACCCATATTCTTTGTGGGAAAAGAATAGTAGGCATAAGGCATTATACAAGGTTATCGATAAAGATTAAAAATATAAGCTTTGCATTGAGACATGTTTTCCCAGTGTACAAACATTAAACTACGGGATTTCAGCCGTCAGCACTTTTAAAATGTCTATCTTTCAAAATCCTCAAAGGAAACGTTTCAACCTTTTGAAAAATGATAATTTTTTTTGTGATTCATGATAATTTTGCTTTCAAATTGAAATTCCATATAAATACGCTGAGAAACAGTGAACAGTTTCAGAAATTGCATTTTCTAAAAAAGATGTCAATATCTATTCTGACCAAATTAAAGATAAAGGATAAATATAACGTTTTTCAATTTTTCAGATCCTTATTTAGATTGATGCAAATTGAAAATTAAATGGTATTTTCGAATATCCAAATATGCACTTTCTATGAATTTTTTGGTTTTACGGATACTTTTAAATCATTGTTAGCAATTGTGAATTCCACGTAAATGATTCTTATAATTTTGAAATGAGTGGTATATCATATTCAAATAAAATTGACAAAATTACCACATTTCCAATGTTCGCATTTTCATAAGTTTAGACATACCTGTATATGCCAGTACGTTGAAAATATAATGTAGAGAATAATAAATTTATTTCAGAAACTATACATTCTTTCTCGACAACTAAAGGAATGGAAATACAATTTCAGATTCAAATCCTAATGAATTATTGAATCAACAAATCAATGTTTCTTCTGTTCAATATCTGTTGAATATAACCATCCAAGAGGAACTTTTAGATTCTACTAGGCCATTTATTTCACTATCTTGTGTCGAAAATCGTGAATCAGTCGATTCACGAGAAACCTTTTATGATCTATTTTCCAATTCGAAATAATTTCCCCCATTCGACCTACGTAACATTCATATAATCTTCAAATGAAATTCAGTGTTATCACAGCCATTTTCTAGAGAAACCTCCTGAGCAGTAAACCTAAAATGTAACTGGATAATCAACCAGTTATCTGAAATTTTCAATAATGATCAACTAAGCTCACCCGACTTTGAATTTATGGATAATTTCCAATAATCCAACATTCAACCCGTTGATTGTGTTACATAATCAATTTTGAAATTACTTGAAGCTTCACACAAACCCAGTAGTTCATTTGTACCAACTGATTAAAATTATGGCTTCTTCATAATTCTTGTCTTCAAGTGAATAAAGAAGGGAAAGATTAGCTGGACTGGCTGAGTTGAGAAACGATTTCACTATTTTTTAGGTTTGAAGGCTGTGACGTTACTCTGGCGCGTGGCTAGCTTCTTCAGAGGTTTATACATCCTAAGTTATCTCCGATGACTCGTTCGAGATTACTCAGCCTTCAAACCCAAAAAATAGTGACACTGAAAACCTCGGTCAGTTGAAGCAGGTATTGCAGTCGAAGACAAAAAAATGCAATCTCTTTATTTTGTTAAACAGTTTCACGTTCAACTAACGAGTAGATCACATGAATATGGCAAGTGCGATCTTGCGGAAACGTAGTGATATTGACAAAAAGGAATGGATGTACACCCGGGATAACACTTCAACATTTTAGTATTTTGACGTTTCAGTTTTGAATTTGAAGCCATTTTCAAGAACGGAAAGTAAGCCACACTGAGGTGTGGCCTACTTCTCAGGTAGTGACATGCTTTTAAAAAGTCTCTCGGACAAAATTGAAACAAAAAATTTTATACACGTTTTACTTCTCTTCTACCAATTTATGTTAAATTTATCCTTTTTGTACTAATTTTTACTGTAACTATAATATTGTACTTCTTTGATGACTTGTTCATTTTGTGGAAATTAATGTTTACTGAGGATACACTAGAAAAACACACTTTTGTCTATTTTCCACGATAGTTCTATATTTGTTGACCAGTTTCGGTCATAACACCATTTTCAAAACCAGTTTTGAAATGGGGTAATGACCAAAACTAGTCAACAAATATAGAACTATCATGGAAAATAGACAGAAGTGTGTTTTTATAGTGTATCCTCAGTGTATTGTAATTTTATTCAAAGAAAAAGTCCATGTCTCAATGAATCGAAGGCCCTGAAGAAATTTCCTATATAATTTTAGCCGTTTTTTGTTATAAATACGATACCAAAATGATAATTCTCGTTGGTCGTTCCATTTACTTTGATTCCTCCACCAGTTGGTACTTTTCATTTCATCTCTACAGACGGAATCTTTTGCAATAGCATAAGTGGGAACTCAAAAAATTTCAAAATCAACGATTTTTGTCAAAATTCATCAGAATTTTAATAATTATCAATGCTCTTTATGGCTTTTTTTCATACGGATGCCAGTTGGAAACGAAAAAAAATCATCAATACTGTGATAAAACATGAAAAAGTTGTGAAATTGTGGTGTATCAGAATTAGTGAAAGTAGCGACTTCATCAAAATATATGCCTCTTATGCCTACTACTCCGCCCAACCTCAAACCTATTTGGTTTCCCCAGCTATTTCGATCCTACCTACTGCGCCACACCGCACCCACATCCGGACCGCCCCTGTCTGTCGATAACTCCTCCCGACGCGCTTCGCGTCGACCCGCGATGATTTCAAGACGGAGACATCCGCGTCGTTTTGGCGAAGCTTTCCTCCGACGACGCCTTCTCAAGGCTGTTACCACCACCGATCCGCACTCACGGCGTCGTTCCTTTCACGAGGGCGAATCTTCGTCAGCGCTGTCGTCCAGCAGCCTTTCGACGCGATACCTGTTGTACGGAACGTACGGAGTCCTCGAGAGGTCATTGTCCGTCAGGACGCGCGTCCTGTTCGGCACGACGCCGTCGCACCTACCCATCAACCAGTCTGTGCACTGTTTCGATTGAGTGTCACTAACGTGATCGCACGCCCAACGTTTCAGCCACTGCCGGAACCGAGTGGCTTTCTGCTTCGTCACTTGCGGATGGGACTGAAAAAAAAACAGATTATTAACGATGTGTCAACTTTAATTTCGTTCTCAACTAAAATAACTATTAATGAATGATTTGAATCAACCAATCAAAATGGGCGATAACGCCCCCTTGTGGGCGCTAGAGGCCTTTAGGAGGGCAGTAAAGGGCACAGAGAAGATTGGGGGCGTTGAATCTGTTTAGGGGGGCGATGGCTAATTTGAAAATCTGTTTTGCTTTCAACACAAACTTTACCGCTCCTTTACGCTTAACGCGCGTTTCCTCGTGTAACGCCATCTAGGGGACTAGACAGTAACTATTTCTTGTCCAATAGTTGTCAAACTGTACAATAGATGGCGGTAAGCTTCAATGTGGAGCGAGAAGTTTCTAGTCTCCATTCTCGAAAGTACTAGGCCCGCCCGCTGCCTCATATAAAAGCGCACGCGCCATCCAGCCAGTAATGTCATTCGACTATATCACCAAAACAAGTGAATTTAGTTAGCAACTAGCTAGGTTAAGTGCTGCACGTGCAGTGGTGAATACTGTGAGTGCTGTCTTTGTCAAGCGATGAAACCCTCAAGGCTACAAGATTATTTGAATAAAATGCATTCAGATAAAAAATACAAAAGTGTGTCTGGAAGAACTGGAACTGGAAAAGAAACACTCAGCTCAGCCAACTGTGTCAAAACTTTTTTCAGTGTATTCTAAGCAAGACGACGACGAACTCCGAGCTTCCTACAATATCTCCTTGCTAATTGCTCAAACAGGTAAACCTCACACTTTTGGAGAGGATTTAATTTTACTGGCAATGAAAGAAGTAATAACTACTGTGCTCCATAAACCAGCGGCAGATATTATCCGAAAAATTCCTTTGAGCAATAGTTCCGTGCAAAGACGAATTGATGAGATGGCTGAAAACATTGAGTCATTGTGCAATCATCTGAAGACTTCTAAATTCTCAATTCAGTTAGATGAGTCCACTTTACCAACCAATGAAGCGTTGTTGTCATATGGAGGTTTATTAAAAATGAGAATCAAGAACTACTATTTGCCAGAAATTTATAGATGGATACAAAAGGAGAAACCATATATGATACACTGGAAAAATTTTGTGATGACAAAGAAGATCCACTGAAGAAAATTATATCAGCTGCTACAGATGTGCTCGCTATACATTGCGTCATTCATAGGCAACATTTGGTTGCGAAAAATTTGAGTGAGCGCCTCTCTCAATCAGTGCAACATATCATCAAAGCAGTCAATAAAATCCGAAACAGCTCTTCAAATGACAGATTATTTAATCAGCTTTGTGTTGCTAACGATGAAGATTTCAACCGATTGTTATTTCACACAAAAGTGCGTTGGTTATCAAGAGGTAACTGTCTGACTCGATTTTACAATCTATTCAACTCTGTAATAGAGTTCTTGGAAAACAAAGACAAAGAATTGCACAACAACCTCATCACTTCAAAGAATGATATAGCGTACTTGACAGACCTGTATAAATCATTTAATAATGTCAATCTCCAACTTCAAGGTGACGACTTGAATTTGATTAAAACAAAAAATGTCATTGCTGGTTTGGTAGCCAAGTTGCTCTTACGCAAGAATAATATCGATAAACGTGAGTTTCGCAATTTCCCTAATTTGTGAGCAGTATCCTTCAACAACGGAAATACTTGACTGGGTGTTGGAGAAGTGGAGGGTGTTAGTTTGAGAACCTCTGCTATAAGACAAAGTATTTTCCCTCTTTCTCCCCCCTGAAACATCAAAAATAACCCCAACTCACCTTTCTAGCTCTGTGGAAGGCACTGATATTGTATAGATAACTGTCTTTCGTCACTGCGAACATTATTTTCGAGTCCTGCATGTTAAATTTGCACTGCGTCTCGTCATTCACCTCGTAACCCGGGTGATCCGTCACATTCCTCTCGGGGGGCCCCCTTTCGTTCAGTTTACGCTCGATCGCGTCCTGTAGAGTCTGGAAGTTTTCGTTTCCTCCCCCGTCGTCCATGTTTCCTAGTTGGTGGTTCCTTACCACCCTTTTGTTTCTGTTGTAGTTGTTTTCTGCGCGCCTCTGAAAAATGAAAATTCAAATTGATGAACAGCCATCCAAAAGTTTTTTCAAGCACTTAAAATGTCTACAGAATCACGGAAGGTGCACTTATTTGCGAGTTGAAATTTAAAGTTACAAAAACGAAATTTGGAGTTCGGAATTTCGAATTTCAAAGACGGATTTATTTAAGAAACAAAAAGTAAAAAACGTTGTTTTCAGCCCTTCCCAAGAACGTCTGCCATCTTTCGAAATGCACCGTAACGTACTCACTGAAGTTAAATGACTTTATTCCTAGTCGATCTGCCCAAACAAAATTCCCAATCATTGAAAACATTCCTTGTCGCAACTTTCATCTGCCACCCGGACTCACCTACCTTATACAATCTCAAATTCCTGTTGAGATAAACAGGGGATCTCGGCTTACGATCCGAACTCGTAATGTCCGTATAGCACTCCTTGTACACACTCCACTTCTTAGCATCGTCTACCTTCTTGCCGTCCTCAGGCTCAGTGTCCAGCAGCTCGATCGTCATTCGGCAATCGCGCTTGTAGATGTAGATCTTAAAGCAGTTCTCCTCCTGGACCGCCTTTTCGCCGGCTCGCTGGTACGCCATCTCCATGTGGGCCTGAAAGAATAATTCATGTCAGAAATGATTCATTTGGTTGAGAACATAAACGTTTCAATACCGACCGACAAAAGAACACAGCAATGAAATTTCATTACTATTTTCTCTAATACTGGACAACGGTTACGAAAATTCCAAAAAAACAATACTACTCACCCTCTTCTGAGCAGTGATGCAAGGCCCCCCGGCAGCTCCTCGCTTCTGCTCCTTAGCAAACAGCTCCGAACAAGCTATGGCCGTCCTCTCAGTGACGCAGTGCTGAAGTTGGCGCACCGCGTAAGATACCACCTTGTCCAGCGTGAAAGCTACGTACGCATGTATCCCAAACATCTCTCGCAGCGTGTCCTCGTACGTGTTCCCCTCCATGTTGCCGTCCAGGAGGTTCTTGACCATGTCGAGGAAGGCGGGGTAGTAGTCTTCGATCTCGATCTGCGGCTTCGGCTTCAGTCTGAGCGCGACGGCGGTGCTCTCTTTGCGGCACGACCGAAACTTCGCCTCTTCGGCAGCCATCCCGACAGCCCGCTCGTAGATCTTTGCGAGACGATCGCAAAGGATGGCGTGCAGCCTCAGGAATATGTACCAGTTGTTGTTGGCCATGAACAGCGTGTACACCTCCTCCTGGAATACGAGAAAGTTAGAAAATCTTACGTATGACAAACAATACTGTTACTAAGAACGAGAATGAAAGAGGATCATCGGTAAAGTTCAAGATCAGCGACTCACTGGATCTGATGTTTGTGCATGTAGCGGCACCTTGTGTTCCTCGTCCTTGATTTCGATTTCTTGTTTTATTTCGTCCAGGCTTACTTCACATCTACCTGGTGACTTTCCATGATTTGAACTGTCTTTCCCTTTGTTGTCCTTATCGGATTTTGGCGAACTGTTGGGACTCTCTTCGCTCTCGTCCTTCTCGTCTGAAAAGATCAGATACATTTCATTTGATGAAACTTTTACTTGGAATTTTCGTCGCGTTTAATGTTCTACATGACTCAAAAAAAAATATTCCCTTCTAAAAAACTTGCACTCTAAAGATCTCACAAGCTATCTATCAATGATGAAAATAGTCAAAATAGTTGCACAACCTTAAAAAATTATAAAACTACCTTTAAACACTGCTTCTGAAACTATATTCATTAGCTAACTAAAAGCCCCGAACTGTTTACAATAAAAACCTGCAAACAATCAATTCACTTTGAGAATAAAAGCATTAACTGAAGTAAAAAGCTAAGAGTTTGTGAATCAATGGCTTTTATTATGCCAAACTGGTTTTAGAGCCGGACTATTTAGAGAAAAAAAATATACGCAATATATGTTCACATAATGAGAGACATAATTGTATAAATCTAAAGACAACTTTCACCTGCCACGATGTAGTTTATCAAACTCCATGAAAATTTTATTATATAAAGGCCTCACTGAATATAACAAACTTTCCCAAAATGTGAAGAATAATAAAAACCTGTTTCAATTCAAAAAAGATTTGACTGATTATATGAAAGGTATCACAATAGAATAGTATTAGTATTATATCCTTTCTATGTCTGTATATATAACATGAAATATTATGTATATTATGTTTGTGTATTAGGATCTTCCTACCAATAAATAATTCATTCAAGAGAGACAGACCTACGTAGACTACGTTGAACTTGAATGGGCTTTAAATATAGTCCTCAATACCTTCTTTTGTGCACGGAATGCCTCCTTAAAATGACAGGAAGAACCCCAGAAGATCAGTCCATACTGTAGGGCTGACTGAACTAACCCAAAATAAAGTGTTCTTAAAACGTCATGTGAAACAGTTTCTCTTAAGTTTCTTATTATATAACAGGAAGTACTCATTTTTGAACACAATGTTTGTATGTGTGCTTCCCATGTTAGTTTCTGATCCAAAGTGAGACTCAGAAATTTTATAGTTTTTTTACTCTGAATGGAACTGGCAGAGACTACCAGGTATAGCTCAGAATTGGGTGCAACATTTTTTGGCAGAAAACGCATGTGGTAAGTTTTGGCGACATTCATCGTGAGACCGTTATTTAAGCAGTAGTTACTTATTTCCTTAGAGGCCACATTACTCTTTTTTACTAGTTACTCAGTATTTTTATTTGACATAAGTATATTTGTGTCGTCTGCATAGACAATCATCTGATTTGACGTAGTGCAGGTATCTTTAATGTCATTTATAAAATTAATGAAAAATAGCGGTCCCAGAATGGATCCTTGGGGTACACCTAGATGTATACAACCACATTTTAAATATTGTCCCACTCTTCTATACACAAGTGATTTGAATAAAATGAGAACACTACAAAAACTACAGAATCGCGCAATGAGGATTATTTTTATATGTGACCGGAGTATCCCGACATCTTTCATGTTAAATACTCTATAATGGTTATCTATAGAAAGTAGGCTTACATATTTAACGATGATTTATATTTACAAAATGTTACATAACCTTCTACCCTCATATTTTGACAAATTTACTTTTATTTTTTTTTTGTATTTTCAATTATCGTAGGTAAGACTACTTATTAACAAATATAAGTAGATCTTTTTTTGTATTATTGTATTTAAATGTATATCAATGTTACTATCATTGTTGTATATATTAGGATGTATCCTATTTAAATAAAGCATTTCATTTCATTTTTCAAACTACCTTTCTGCAGACTAGACTGAAAAATTACAACTACTTTCTTACACTAAAAAATTCTTCACACTAAAATCTGTTTGGGAACTCCAAAAACCTCATTTCTATACTAAAAATCAACAAACTACTTGAAGGCACTACTTCATTAACTATATTTCTACAGAAGAAACTCTTAAACTACCTGCAACTCACACACCACCCCGTCTACATTAAAAACAGTGAAATAAGACTAAAAATAAGTTGCTCACCATCTTCCTCTCGTTCATCATCACTCAGCTGCTGCCTCGGATGGAAGAATAGATCCGGTAGGAACTGCCTCAGCAAATTCTTGATGCGTCTCTTCTCACCCTTCTGTATGCCCGTTTGACGCTTAACGTGGTGGATGAGGAGGTTAGCTGCGTCGTCGAGGATTGTCCGGTCCCTATAGAACAGCACCAAGTGCGGTCCGATGACGGGTTCCGTTCCCTCATCGTTCTGTTCGTGCCTCTAAAAAAAAACCATGAAATTACACCTCAGGAAAATATCGTCTGAAATGAATCGAGTGCCTAATCTAGAGCTATTTTCTTAGTAATACTCAGGATTATCAAAGATTGCTAACTGTGCCTCTTATGATTTTCTATCTATGATTATTTATTTATTTATTCATTAACGGGTAACACCCAATCAAGTTTAAGGGATTTCACAATAAATTATATGAATACAACAAATAATTACATCTAACTTACTTGCTAAAAGCAAAACTAATTTATTAATAAAGAATAACAGTGAGAAAATAAATTTACTGAATTGAAATATTAATTAAGATAAGTTAATATTAATTAAGATATGGAAAATATCTAGTGTTGATTTAAATTATGTATTTAAAATAAACATATATTATTTCTATAATTACTGACATGAAAACTTTCAGTGTCAATTAGTATGCTTACTACTGAAAAACAATCTGGCTGTTTAACCCAAATGCCTCAAGGATCGGTCTTTGGCCCCTTACTGTTTCAAATGTATGTTAGCGACCTTGAACTTTAAAAATTCAACAATAAAACGATATCAACCAAGGATTTAGTAGTCTCCTTCACACAAAAGAATGATGGCAACAAACCTGTTACTTTAGAAAAGAATCAACTTCTAGCAACTCACAATCTCACTCACCTCATCGAAAATGGTCTCAATCTCATTGAACAGACTCTTTGACCGCAACGCCTTCACGTCGGTCTGCTTGAAGTTGATACCCTGGTGATCCAAGCTCTTCAGGTAGTACTTCTCGTTCTGCTCCCTCCAGATCTTGTTGAAACCCTTCTGCGCCTCGCGCCACTCTTCCTCTTTGGTCTTGAGGCGTCGCAGAACGACCGGCACCGCGACGGCCGGATTCCTCTTGAGGCCGTCGATGATGTCCTGCGCCTTGTCGCCGTATATCCTGCGGATGGCGCGCTGGTGCAGCGTCGGCGATGAGCCGCCGAGGCAGTCGTCGAGCTTGTACTTCGAAGCGTCGTCTTGGCTCATGCGACTCAGCTTCTTGTTGACGCCTTCGAGCACGCGGATCGTCGACGCGTTCACTTCGATCACGACGTCCAGTTCGAAGCGTTCGTCCTCGCACCGATACATGTACTCCTCGTACTGGGTCTTGCGTGAACTGCGGAATAGAGATGGTAATGAGTGAACTAATAGAAATACACTTTTGAAACGGTCCATGGGGATATGTCCTACATCCACTACTATTTATCAACACAAACATTTCATCTATATAATAGTGAATGATTTAGCAACACCACATCATCTGTAGTACGAGTAGAGCGGAAAAATACTCACCTAACGAATGTGCTATCCTCTGACCACGTCGGGAATGACACCCACTGGTCGTTGAGCACCTCCTTGCAGAGCTGCGTCCTGCCCGAGCACTTCATCCCTTCCTGAGCTTTCGGGATGATGCAGTAGCTAGCTCCGAGCCGTTTGGCGGTCGCGAGGTCGATCTCTAGAGCGTGGTCGCCCTGAGGGCGCTCATTGCGTGCTACGTTAAACGGCACCGCCTCTGTCGTCGTCTCGTTGTTCTGACCGAGGAACTCGCGGAACCAGCGCAGTAGCTCAGGAAACTTGCCGATGAATGGAGTACTAATCTGGATCAGCTCTGATTTCGAGACGATCTCCTGGTTGAAAAGCGTCAGGCAGCGCAAGAAGTTGTTGTAGGCGTCCTGGCTCCGGAGGGCTTTGCGGACCTGCACACAAACACGAAAATTCCAGTTATTCAGTTGATGTTGAAAGAGAATATAACAAATTAACATTCAAAATTGTAGATTTACCCCTCCTATTCCTAATCAGAATCTCGGAGAGATTAATTAAAAACTTCTTCATTCAATGGCCATTTAATATTTGCTTTCACAACGAGAAGTGGTACTTAACCTAACTCCTCATTTTCAACAAATGATTAAAGTTTTTCATCATAAAAAATGAGAAATTGAACGTTATATGTAAATAACGTTACATATACAAGTGGTGAAAAAACATAGAAAGTTTCATTTTTCATGATGACCTCTTACTACTTAGTAACGGCTACATCCATAAATTTAATTCCAAATTTTCTCAAGCATTAACTTTCTAAATAGACCAAGCAATTTTTTAGTGATTTACAATTCAAACTTTCATAACTATACTTTTGTTAAAATATCTAAAAACAGCACCTCCGATCTGCTTACCTTATCAAAGAATGCATAATCATTAAGTGTTCCATATTTGCCAGCTTCACTAAGGGTAACGTCTCGACAAGTCGAGGACATTTTGTGCTTCTTGGGGGGCGGGGCGTCCTTGCTATGCTGGTAGTTGGAGTAAGTCGGCGATCTTTTGACACCACCGCTGGTAACATGGCTGGGCTTGTGAGAAGAAACGCTGCGAAGGAAATTCACCAATAGTAAATATAAAAAAAACAAAAACGAACTCTCAATGTAATATTCAACCATTTTGTTATTCCTACTTTAGAAAAAATATAGATTGCAAAACAACTGGAATACTCCTGGTATACTACATAAGTATACTGTAATATAATGCAACAGACACACACACATTCACAAGTTAATCCAGCAGACACACAAGTTAATACAACACACAAATATACACAAGTTAATACAACACACATACACAAGTTATTACAACACACACACAAGTTAATACAACACACACATACAAGTTAATACAACACACACATACAAGTTGATACAACACACACATACAAGTTGATACAACACACACAAACAAGTTAAAACATCACACACATGTTAATCCAGCAGACACACAAGTTAATCCAGCACACACACAAGTTAATGCAACACAAAGGTTAATATTACACGTACACCCACAAGTTAATGCAACACACACAAGTTAATACAACACACATATAAGTTATTACAAAAACACACACAAGTTAATACGGCGTGCGCGCACACAAGTTAATATAACACACACACACGTCAATCCAACAGACAGACATAAGTTAATCCAACAGACACACAAGTCAATCCAACTGTCACACAAGTCAATCCCAGTGACACACAAGTCAATCCAACTGACACACAAGCCAATCCAACTGACACACAAGTCAATCCAACTGACACACACACAAGTCAATCCAACTGACATACACACAAGTCAATCCAACAGACACAGACACACAAGTCAATCCAACAGACACACACAAGTCAATCCAACAGACACACACAAGTCAATCCAACAGACACACACAAGTCAATTCAGCGAACACACACATATACACAAGCCAGTCCAGCGAACACACACATACACAAGCCAGTCCAGCGAATACACACACACACAAGCCAATCCAGCGAATACGCACATACCAAGCCAATCCAGCGAACACACACAAACACAAGTCATTCCAGGTAGGCACATACAAAAGTTACTCCAACACATACAAAAGTTACTCCAACACATACACAAGTTAATCCAGCATACACACGAATTGATCCGGCATACACACACAAATTGATCCAGCACACACACAAGTCAATCCAGTATACACACAAGTCGATACAACACACACACACATAAGTCAATACAACAGACTCACACATAAGTTAATCCAACAGACACACACACACACACAAGTCAATCCAATAAAGTTTTATTCATTGTACATAGAGAAAATAATTGAAGAAAAGGAAAGAAAAAATTTGAATGAAAACTTACCTATGCCTTTCTATAGGGTCTCCGCGATGATAAGGCTTGACGGGCGTCTTCTTCACCGAGTTGACGTGCTCCGAAATCGGCGCTTGATTGATGTGACTCGTGGCGTCGGGCAAAAACTGCCCGAATTCTGCGAGCAGGTCGCTCTGGTTTTCGAAGAGCTTTGCTACCTGACTGTACACCTCTTGTTCGGTGAGGTGCTTCATGCCGCTCGAGCCGATTGAAGAATTTTCCTTAAGGGTACGCTGCTCTTTCTGGTAGGTGTGCAAAATCTCGAGGAACTTTTTGTACTTCTCCGGTTGGCCTTGGAAACGGTTCTGTAAAGAACCAAAGAGAGCGTGTGTCAATAAAAAAGATCTTTTTTCAAGACTACAGCTATTAGGACCGGTTCCGTTCATCTAGAAGCAAAAATTGACATTAAACTCAAATTTCGAATAAAGTCACTAATACAAAAACCAATATAATGCAACTTTGGTTACTGTAAACTGTAAGGAGTTACTCCTAAGAAGTTCAAAACATTGTAAATTAAAATATAGTCAATTTAAGACATATCAAAGTATATAAAATAAATTTCATCAATCAGCTTCAGCAAAAATGAATTACACAAGGACTGTTCAAAAACTTCCAAACTGGAGATTGACATCAAAGGATGAATCAAACAATAACTGGATTAATAAAAATTATGAATATACTGGATGTGAACCGATTCTGACTAGCCCCTATAATTTTTTTATATCTACTGGTTCTAATGTGAAATTTTGGTAGTTCAAATGGCATCACAACTTGGATTGATTGAATAACAAATATTTTTGTAGCATTTCCAGTTTCGCAGAAAATTTGACCAACTTTTGAATTTCAAATGGAACATAAAAAGCGTAACATAAAAAGCGTCTATGACAACATCCACATGATTTGTTGACTAGGACTTGCATTTAACACCAATTTATAGTAGAGCATGATATTCCTAGTAAATTAAATGATGTTATTTTGATGTTGTTTTTTTTTCAATTTTGCCCCACATCTATGTTGAGTTCTTAATGAATTTCCAAGGACTGTTTTCCAAATTTCAGTTTAATAAATGCATATATAGATAGCTCGCACAAGTTTCTCAACTTCTGAGAGTTGTCGTTCGTATGGGGGCGACAGCTGATTAACGGAAAAACAGATTTTAAACAGATAGATGGCTAGGTTACAACCGACTGTGAAATAAATACAAAGTTGCATTGAATATTCAATAAATGATTGTTTTTTATACACCCAGATGTTTGGCTGTTTTTTATATAAAGCAGGTATCATCAAAATATAAAATTAGATTGAAAAGTATACTGTACTTTCTACCAAAGCCGGCTCTGTTTGACAAGAGTGAAAAGTGCTAATAAATTGACAAATACTTCATTAAACACTACACCAGTTCATATTAAAAAAAATACCAGTCACCCATAATCCAACAAAACCTACATTTGAATGCTTCTTTTGTTGGTGACTAAGAAATCTGGAAAATCCAGAATCTTCAAATCACCATAAACCACATCAACAAAATACACATCTTGTAACTTTCGCCAGAACATAAACATTACTAACAAGACACAACTAGGATAATCTCTACTATGTTTACAGATCCCCGCATTCAGATAAACCTTCAATATGACTCAATGACGAAATTAATAAACCCAATGAAGAACGTGTTGCCGCAAAACATAGATTCCTATAAATGTGTCCTGCATTTAAATGAGTCAAAACGACGCGCATGTTGTCATATTACTTAGAAATCGGATTTTCCACAGCGCTGTACTTCTTGAATTTAAATAGATTTTGACATACAAATGTGCAAGGTTCAAAGAGTTTGAAAATAAAACTGTCCAACGGCGAATAACAACATCTTGTTGCCAGTTTTCTTCGCGGGACGTTGTTTGTTTCTCGTTATCTGATTTTACTCATGCAGTGTTTCATGTCTTGAATTATATTTAGGACAGAAAAAAGTAGATACAGTTGGCGTTATTTACCGCTTTTCCTAACTTCGAACTACTCCGCGTTCTAAACTAATCTCAGATTATTCTGATGCATTCTATGAACCTTTATTTGCATTCTATTATTTTTGTGTACTATCTGAAACTGTTCGATAATCAAACACGTGCCGACGTGACGTAACAATACGTTGTCGGATCGCCACGCTCAGTAGCGGCTCGTTCATTCGCCGTGTCAGCTTTGCCATGGGCATAACAAATCAAGTGTTCCAAAAATATTGAAATTGTTGACGCCAAAAGTTTACTACATAGGTACGGCAAGTTTCAAAATCTAGGATAAATTTTATGTAAATATAGAAAATCTTTCATTCTTTCGAGAAAGTTTCATCATATTTTTCATGTTTTGTTTGTTCCATTTGTTTCGAGAATTGAGTCACTAATTGTCAATTACTCATTTTTCTCTCTTCCATGTCTCCGATGATTTGAAACTGATGTTCGGAGATGCTTGTTCAATTTCTAGAAAGATATGCGAGCAGTATTCCTTGGAACTGGTTTTTATACTTGCATACATAAATAGATTTGTAAATTGATGTGAAAAACTTTGAAAAATGTCTCACAACATTCAACAATGGCTTTTCTAGAGGACTTTAAAGATCATGGATGTGCTGTTTTCGTAAAAGATGATAAGGAAATAATATTTTCTACATAGTTTTCATAAATAATGGATAGTATTCCTAACTCAGAATTGACTATTAATATAGATTCTCCCTGTAACATTTTCAGTAGTTCGTAGTCGATAAACCTTGATACCTTAGAAACATATCGTGAAAGAGTTCTTAAATTGAAACTGCATACAACATATTTTTAAAAAACGTAGACTTTTCCAGCTAGAGTCATGATTAAAGAGAACTAAATTTGAGCTGGTATGGCGTAGTCGAATGGAACCTGAAGCTATACAGTAATTGAACTTGTGCTATCTCATAAATACGTCACTAGAAACTGGGATATTTAAAAAATCTTTGAAAACAATCACAATGACACCAATAGAAAAAGTCGTAAATACACTTGAATGGTCTGAATTTAGACTGATAAACAATTTGTCTAGTGCTAAGATGATAGTATACCAACAACTATTAGAACACTTTACTAGAACTAATATATTTTTCGTTTATTCAGACCCAAAAACTCCTGCACATGAAACTGAATGGAAAATCAACATTTGTGGAGAAAAGTATACAATGGGGAATGTTCCTCCTGACGAAAATCAAGTAGTTTTCATAAAAGAGCTCTAAAACAACGCATTTTAAACCTATCATTTCAACCTTTTTCTTTAAAAATTATTTTAATACTTGAAAAAGAGGAATGAAATAATGCATTCAACATTTAAAGGCATTCGTTTCTATTTCACCATTTGGCAACATCGGTTATAGCTAATAAAGGACAATGAAACTGTTACAGGTGTGAGACAAACAAAGATGACATATTTCAGAGGCGTGCTGTTCTGTTTACTTATGTTCCGAGTTCCGAGACATTCTGTGACATATGACATTTTGTGCACCTAACCTATCTTCCTCTATATAAATAAATAACAAAACAACTGTTGTTTATGTGGCTTGTGGAGGTGGTATTGAACTATAATTTATATTTTGCCTCAATTGTTGATTTATAAAATAATTTTCCTTTTTTAAAGTAGAATATCTAGGTACGTATAAGTTATTTCAACTTAATATGTGTTGCCAATATGTGAATTAGAAACAAATCTCTTTAAAAATTAAAACCCAACATTTGAAACATCATCTTTTGCAAAGGAGTCAACGTCCTAATTGCCTTCCAGGCCAATATGGCCAGGAATCCAGACCAGAGACAATCTGTTAAGCCTTCCTATCGAGGAGAGTCGTTTTGGCAATTTGCTACCAATTTAGACGTTGCTCGGTAGGAGCCAAGAGCTTCCAACGCCGCTTGACTGTCCGAGAATATTTTTATTGACTTGTGAGTGAGGTTGGATTTATACAATCTACAATAGCGTAAATTTCCGCTTAAAATACAGTCGCATAGGTTCCTAGGCAGGTCGATATCTCTGTCCAGGATGTGACTGAAAACACCTGCACCAGAACCGGAAGGTGTTTTTGATCCATCTGTGAACCAACAACTATCTGCTCTTAATATTTGTGCAGACATGTGATAAAAATCTATAAATAGCTATTGAAAGACGAATTTCTTGGCTGTTAAAATATCTCAGTATTTAGTTATGAACAAACTGAAACTAAACATTTCCGAAACTAAGGCAAATATGCTAATGAGGTTTATGTTAGGATCGACGATAAGAAGTTTGAAATTGTGGAATAATTCAAGTGTTATTTAGATAGCAAGCTAAGCACCTAAACCGTGAAAAATTTCTACGTCAAAATGTGGTCTCAAACTCATCGAACATTTTGAAACATACAAAAATATTAGATTTTAAGCAACAGTGTTGGAAGCGGCACGTCGTTTCCCTGCGTACTCACCTTAATCTTGTTGACGTAGTTGATGGCGTGATTGAATTCGACGGGCTGGTTCTGCGGCGTCTCGGTGTGCCCGCCAAGCGCGTGCGTAACCGCTGCCTGTGCCGCGCTCAGCGAGAGCGCGGCGTACGATGGCGCGTTGCCTCCGTACGTCGAAGGCGAGTGGTGAACCACGGGCGGCGGGGGTGGCGGTTGCGGAGGCGGCACTTGCGGCGCGACGGGCGGCGGTGGCGCGGCTGGAGGAGCCGCAGGCGAGGGCGCCGACACGCTGATCGTGCCCGAGCCCTTGAGAATCATCGCGGAACGGTGCTCCTGCGGCATCGCCCCCGTCGTCGGGCTCGGCATGCTAACCGACACTTGGAAGGCATAGCCCTGATCGTTACGCTGCACCTCGATCTTGTAGCCGGGCGGCAGGAACGTGTTAAAGCCGACGATGAGCTCAGGGAAACCCTTGAAAAGGTTCGAGACGCGTTGGATAACGCCCGGCGTGTCGATGCTCTGGCTCTTGAACTCCTTCATGATGTCCAGGAAGTCGTTGTAGACCTGCGGCTTCGAGCCGAACTTGTACTTGACGAGGTCGAGATAGGATAGCGCGTCCTCGACTTTCAGACGCTGGCTACCCGGCGGAGATTCTTGAAGGGCGGCTGTGCCTCCGCCTTGAAGGACGGTAGCGCCGCCACCAGGGGGAGGCATCGCCTGGGGCTTGAGCGCTTGCGGGGAGGGGGCGGTCGTCGCAATGGCCGCGTAGCTGACGGGCGGCGGCGGGGCATACAGGCCCGACTGCATGCCTTCGCTGACGACTTTTACGGTGCCGGGCGGGGCGGTCGAGTAGGACAACGCCGGAGCCACGTTGGGCAGGGACTGTTGCTGCTGCCGGTAGAGGGTGGAAACGCCGGACAGGACTGACGGCTCGTTGATGCTCGATTCTTTACCGGTCTCATCCACTCGCAGACGTTTCATTTCAAATCACATCGAAGCGGCTGTAACAAAAAACGTTATTTTTTAATGGGATCGGTAAACAATTCAGACATCGATAGGATATCGGTAGAAAAAAAAAGAAATAAGTTTTTTAAACAATAATTATTCCAGAATCATAGCAACCCATCGACAACTACACGCGAAATATCCATAGCGAATATATTTAAAATTCCAAGGCAATCTTACATGAGATTGTACTGTATATAGTCGAAGTAACCGACATAGTAATATTAAAGGTGTCGGCGAAGTCAAAGGCAAAAAAAAACAATACAAAGAAAGTATGCCGCAACAAATTAGTCCACATGGACTGAAGAATTGACGGTTCGTATTGGATAATTTTTACTAACCGAGTTATATGATTGGCTGAAGAGTCATAAAATTAAAATTGAAGTCATGTTACGGTGACCAAAAGAATGTAGCGATGAGTACCGCCGTTGTGTGTGTTATTAAAGGGAAACTACTGGAAGGTAGGAGACACTATATCTTTTACTTGAACTATACCATCAGTATTACATATGTGTTAACACTTTTGTAATAAAATCAATTAATTCCGATCAAGTAATATACAATACAATCGAAAAAATCTGTAATCTATTACTACTTGTCAAAAAAAAAAGTCGAACAGATTTATGGCTCACGGTCACGGAACACAAATATTATTGGTGTTCTGTGTCACAGAACACCAATAATATTTGTGCAATGAGAACAATAAAAATTGTTTCTGTTTCACGTAGTTGCGCATGGCACCACACATACAAACTGTATAAAAATAAATATGATTGATCGTAAAAACTGTGTAAACCAAAGAATAACCTTTACTGTGTCACCAATGAGATATATGAGTATTTTTTAAACATTATAATGTGCAAAGAGCAGCTATTTAGTACATGAATCATTGAGAATGTAAAAGCTATCTCTCTTCGATTTACAAAGTACAACAATCACCTAAAGCTGTCTATTATTAAATGCAAATTTCAATTGTTTTCTCTTCCCTTTTCATTCTCCCCATGTGTTTTGTCACGTATTTTATTAATGACGCATGGTATTTGCATGTCTTTGCAAAGTGTCAGTCAAATCAAATGACCGTATAGTATTTTTTACAACAAATGACAGACAAAGTTACACATTCACTAATGTATCTATTGAATTGATGTACCCATAATTTTTTCATCTCTCGTTATATTTTGGCGCCTTTTCTTCTACGGACCAAACAAATCCGATCACATCAATCGGCGGCGGAGGCACATAAAGCGATTCTGCTGCGAAGTTTGCAGTGTCGAAGGTCAGCATCTAGGCGTTCCTCCTCTTCCGTCGCTTACAGAACTTTCAGAACGGGGGACAGTCCATTTTGCTCCAAACGCGGCTAGCTGCTAACTGAATTCGTAGTACGCAGTAGGCGGGTTACGGATATACACAAGCGAATGCACAAAATTGACGGCATCCCACATTTTATACGGGTGCTCCATTTTATGGTTTCAAAGATACTGATATTTTTCACAACACCTTAAGGCGCGTTACAACAACTATAAGCAACCTAGTTACTAACGTTTATATTTCGAGCAATCTTTCTTGTACAAGTGTTTGGATGCTTCTCTATTTTTATTTAAACCTGCTTCCTCATTTTGGACAGTTGTAACAGTATCTACGAGTCGTTCCATTTCCATATTATTTTGAAAAAAAAAAAACATCTTATCATTTTCAAACCAATGAATACTGGTTACAGAACGTCGGCAGTTTCTTTGTATGGCATGAGCAGCGTGGTATAATATAATAAAATAGTGCAGTTTTATTTTTCATAAACCTACACAGATTTCTTTTTTAGTAGTAAAGAGTAATGACTATACCTCAAATATATCTAATGGTATGAAATATCAAAGTCAAGCAAGGGACAAAATTGTTTGAACAAACAGGTTTTTCAACTCATCCCTATTGGGTAAAGACTTGTTAGTCTAACGTTTTCTTGTAACCCCCACTCTTCGATTTCACATCTTATTAAAGAAATGACGATGAATATCCCGTAGGGACCACAATTGGCAAGCATTTAGTTAGTTCCTTGAGAATTTCATGCACATCATAACTGACCTTCTCACTAGACAATTTCAATTAAAATTATCGCGCGACAAAATAAATTCAAGCGACCTAATACACACCTCTTTTTCGGCATACGTGATGAGGAAAGGTTGCGATTGCGTTGGTTTTATGTAGTGAATTATTTCTAAAGTTAAGTTAACATCAATGTTTCTAGTTTTCAGGTGGATAGATGGTTACCTATTTCAAAATTGAAATCGATAGTTATCAGCATACTTATGAGTGAATTTTATCAAAGGTCATTACTATTAGTTACAAGCTCATGCGACGTTATGACAGGAAACATTTAGGCTGGATATAGAAATCTTTGTCGAGTATTTACATTGTAAAGGTTATCATTTCACAGAAGATAGTGTCAAATGATATTTCATGGACCAAACTCCACAAGAGTGGCGGACCACCAGCCACTACTTTCAAAATAATCTTTTGTGAAATGAAATGTCAAGTAAATATGTTCCTTTATTCACAACAGTAAAATATTGGGTAGCAGAGTTGCAATATTTATTGGGTAGCAAAATTAACGAATTAAAGTTTGAAATGCTACCTCATGCACCTATTTGCCAGATTCAGTCCCCTCGGATAATTTTTTGTTCCCAAAATAAAAAAATCAACGCTTGGTAATGAACCACAATGTCTTTAATTGTATTTGAAAGCAGTGCCGGTGATTCTGACACTTTTGATAGGCTTATTTTTATTATAACTTAACCGTTATCAAATGTGTGAAGAAAAAATTATCGGCGCATCTGTGTGTGTCCACCTTCACGTTCAATGCATCTAATTTCCCGATCATAAAATTCACAAAGAGTAGATCGCAACACACTTGTTGGGGAATATTTCTGCAATGAAATCGTATCGCATTTTTAAGCTCCTGAGCATTAATAAATCGGCGCATCTGTGTGTGTCCACCTTCACGTTCAATGCATCTAATTTCCCGATCATAAAATTCACAAAGAGTAGATCGCAACACACTTGTTGGGAATATTTCTGCAATGAAATCGTATCGCATTTTTAAGCTCCCGAGCATTAATAAATGGTCGATCCTTGTTAAACTTTTGCTTTAAATATCCCCATAAAAAAAAGTCTAATGTAGTGAGATCTGGTAAACGAGGAGGCCACCGTGGGCCAGTATTTCGTCCCAACCATTCATCACCAAACTTTCCATTCAACCGTTCTGAAACAATTGTAGTAAAATGAAAAGGACATCCATCATGTACAAACCATAATTCATGTCGTTCTTGAAAGCTCATATTGTCCAAAAAATCGCGTTAGTTCGTTTTCCAAGAACTGTAAATATGTATCACAGGTTGTGGTGAAAAAAAAAACGGCCCTATTAATTTTTTGTTAACAATATCGCACCATACATTTGTTTTTTAATAATATTGGTTTTTATTGTCACTGACAAAATTTGGATTTTCGTCCGACAACCACCTACAGTTTTGGGAAGAGACAACGCCATTTGTTGTGAACGTGGATTCGTCTCCAAAAAGAATGTGTTTATGGAAATCATGTTGATCTTCTATTTGTCCTCAAACCCACGTGCATGTTCAAAGATTTTCCAACGGTGAAGAAGTGATGTCGGCAGTTTATGGCTATTTTGAGGAGCCAGACAGTAACGAACTTATTGAATGTCGCTGGGAAGAGTATAATAAAGCTGCAAGATTATGTTGAAAAATGAATTTTTTCCAAAATTTTTGTGTTTTATTCGTTGGGCCGGGTACTTCTGGTACTACCCTCGTAACATGCCGAATGAAGTGCAAAAAATGTTGAAATAGAGTACAAAATTAGCCTAAAAGTAAGGTCTAAAATGAATGTTAAAAAGTGAACCAAAGTAGTTCTGCTAGCTCAACAAGAGTTACTTCAATTTATTGTTACGGAACGATATTCACTTCACATACTACTCATTACGACAATATAGAGAACGATTTTTTGTTTCCCCCTGGTAAAACTTGCCCTACTATTATAATTTCGTGCTCGACCAATCGCGAACCCAGCATCCATCCTCTGCAATGTATTTACGAGTATGTTGCTTACATCAGTCGATACCTACATTTGTACGGCGTAATCAAAAAAAAAAAAAGCCGGCAAATGTAAATAACGATAAAATAGGATAAACAAGAGAGATAACACTTTTTAAAAAACAGATTCTTGTGTTATTTCCCTTTTTGATTGGCCAAGCTCGAGACGTGCATTATAGGAAATTGTTTTTGTTTGTCTGACTGACAGGTGTCGAAGAATGATGTGAAAAACGGAAACCGTAACGGAAAAGTGATATTACTCTCGACATTTTCTCGAATTCTACGTTACTGCAGATGAAACGCCTCCAGCTTTTGGTACAGCACTACAAAAGGTTCTACAAAGGAATCTGCATTCCAAACGAGGTAACCGGCTTTGAACTTAGAATATAAACATGTCAGTTACTTTCAGCTAACGTTATGCAATGAACACCGATAAATAATCTATTTCAGTCACTCAATATCTCAAATAATAGGTGTATTTAGACGTCAAAATAGACAGTGACATAAAACTTTTGACAATTCCCGATGATAAAATCAAAACTGAGCGAAATACAACAAAGAATACGTTACCATTATTTCAGGAATGCCGCAAATAATCCACAGCCTCGATATAAACATCTCACAAGAACATAAAGTGAACAAAACACTAGGAATTGTAACTAAAGAGTTCGACTTGACACAAAACGTTTAAATTACGCGACAACTGCCATGTTGAACTGGTGGAGTTCAGCTGATTGGTGAAGACACGCCCACTTATTTATTTCTGGCATAAACAAAACCGGTAGCGTTTTCCAGCAACATACGATCACTCTATTCTCTTCTTCCGGTGTTGCCAGGTGCAAAAAAATTCTTTTGATATGAAGACATTCAATGCACCTTAGAAATCACGGCATTCTCTTGAAGGTATAAAAAAAGTAAACAAAAAAAAAAGAAAGAAAATCAACAAAAACCAGACTCCAATATGAAATTAGTAAAAAGTTTTAAAAAAAAAAAGACCAACTGAGTGGTGATAGATTTATAACTTTTTTTGTTCTAGATTTAATCTATATTACTTTTCTTGCACAAAAAAATTAAAGTATGATTATAAAAGAAGCAGAGTAGCAGAATATAAAACTTGTTTACATTGTTAATTCTTTGGAAAGATACTTAAAATATTTGAAAAAAGAAATGAGGGTAACAACAGCATACGTTACAATCAGCGGTGATACTTAGATTTTTCTGGCCGGTCACCCTTTCGTACAAACGGGAAAATCTGCAAACTCTCCTTCGCACTGTTCATTATTATGTATTCATTGATCAAAGTGACATGTTTGAACTTGGTTAACAATGTCTCAAAATATGTTAACGTATTTGTGAATTCGTTGAAACAAAAAAATTATGTAATACATTCGGAAGAGTTCGTAAAGAAAATGATATAAAAATAGTGAACTCTTTTGGTTTTGGCTTTCTACTACTCCATCTTAAGCAATTAATCACAAAATAAACGTTTTACAAAAATGTAACTTTAACTTTCAGACACATATTTTTTTTTGTATAAAGATGGAGAACTGGAAAGTCAAAACATCTTTTTCTTTTAATATATATCATAATAAAGGTTGTGTAGTCATTTGTTGAGAATTATGACACTCTTCTGAAAGCAAATATTTTCGCTACTTGATGTTTGATTACTTCACAACGAAAGAATGATTGAAATAATTTTTAACGTAATGGAATACAAACATAATTGCCTACGTTTCTTGATTTGTTTCATTTCCTGAAGAATTATTCAGACTTTTCCCATTCTGCCTGCCTGGTTGGCTGAAAGTCTCTGCTAAAGTTATCTATTTTTTTTTGACTATTTACCGGAATATATCAAATTATTTCTGTATTTTTTGTAATCCCTTTGACTTTCGCACCTCACCTTTTAAAAAGCATTCAATTTTTTTGAAAATATAAGCTGGTTTTTACAGAATTATGTCATGAAAAATTGACCAAAAACGCCGGATTTGAAAGTGCACCTACATTCTCCAAGTGATATTAATAGACTTGAATATCATTTCATAACGCAATCGCATTAGTGCCATCTGACCTACTTCTAAAAAGTAAGTGTAGTCGAACATTTTTGAATTCAAATGAATTTAAGAGTTTTGATAAAACTGTCTAGAGAATTCAGAAACTTTCATCTGGCAACACTGCTCACTTATCTCACGAATTTCGTCCACAAACAAGAACGCAACACCGAAGCTCGTGAGGCAAACCTTGAAATGGGCTCATTATATTTTTAAACAAAGACAGACGAGCCATCCGCGAAGAAGGACGTAATTATATAAACACGGAGAAAAGGCTGCAACCGCGTTGTTTCAATTATCTCCTAGATAGGTGTACCTGCCATTTATTACGTAATGAAAATAACAAAAGACGAAATAGGAGCGCGCGCAACCCAAGCCCCGAATTCCATTGGCGGTAAACCCTAATATCAACCCGGTTGCGCAATCCACGTAGCTGCAATCTGCAGTTTCGGCAGCATCGAAACGTCGTGGGACGATGCACCTGAAAAAAGGCCAACAGCGGAGAAAAGGCGAAGAAAGTCGACTCTATTCTATGTACCCGATTAGCAACAGCAACTTTCACGACTGACCTTGACTAGGAGAATCAAAAAGCACGTAGTAATCCTTGATCGAAATATTATGAAATGCTCGGTACATTTTTTCGTTGATTCTCCTTTCCAGTTATTTTCGGCTCCGATTCACGCCATACCAGGTTTCACCAGTAATGAGGTGTCACTAGCCAAGGGCGTGAGTTGTCCGGGGAAGACTTACATTTTCGCCTAAGTGCCAGTCAAGTGAAATCTATGTCGTTTTTTCCTGAGACATCTGCTCGAACACATAAAACGATTTAAAATGCACCACAAATACATGATCGTCTTTGAGTACGTCGCACAACGTAATCGTGAATCTACAGCATTAAAATTATTTACGATATGCCTCGAGAATGTGTACTCGCGGCCTGGCAACGTCGCGTGCCCTCTAATTTAGCCGCGTCGTTGCCGATAAACCGATACAGGAATTAGCCTTTATAATGTGACACCTTGCCAGAACGTTCACAACGAAATGGCAACGTCGCGCGATGAGTCCGCTCCCGCGAGCAAGGAGAGAGCTCCCGATTGGGCGCGGAGAGAATCGATAAGAGAGTGGAAGGGCAGGGAACCGGACGCATACAAAGCGGTATTGCCAGCGCTTGCTCCTAAACAGACGGCTCTTAGAGGTGAAAATCGCTTGAAAACTTTGTCAGTAAACAAATACAAAATGTTACAGAAATATTTCATAATTAATTCCAAAACTCGACTGCTCGCCGAGCGTTACAAAAGATCAATTAATGAACCGGTAATAATCCGAAAACGAAACATAACTATCACGAGATTGTTTACGTTGAACACCCATTTGGCACAGAAAAAAATCATGTTGCTTACTAATCTTTTATAACACGCTTTCCGCCGTTGCCAGGTCAAGTGTTCTCAACATCGCCGACAACAAACACCTAAATTTGGTATTAACAATCTTATTAGGAACGTTATAAATCGAAATTTTGACAAAAGAGTATTTCGGACACCTCACCTCCCACTTTGAAAAATATTTGGACTAAATTTAGAATATGCTTGAGAATCGGGAATCATTGCAGATGGGACGGAAAAGTTACATTTTCTCGGAGAAAAACCTACTCATTTAGATCGCACATATGTTGAAATGCATTGTAGAAAACTCGGGAATAAAGGATTGGAAAAATATGTCACTCACCTCGAAAAAGCCCCCTTGTCCTGGAAATTTTCTGCTCTCAACTTTTCCGATTGCACAGTTTTACGTTTCAACGACGATACAGACTTTTCACAGGAAAAATATAACTCTACACTTGAATTCATGAAAAGAAAATTATGACACATTCTGTTCAACCTCCTAGTACGATGACCGATTGGCGACTGGCTGCTTTACAATCTTCAAAGCTTGTTTGGACGAGTCCACCAAAATGGCCTGACCCGGCAGGTAGAAAGTATTATTACCTGAACGGTCAGAAAAATGCTGGAGTTGATATAACCTCAAAAAGGAAATCATTTTTCTCTAGGAAATAATCAAATTGTTTTATAAAATTGTTGGATTTTTGCAAAAATTCAAATTGTAACTTTGACACTTGATCCTTACTCCCCTTATTCATAGTGGACTATTCGAGATTTAGAATCGTGAATAGTTCAAAGTGTGTCCAAGTGCCTTGATGGGTGCGCTAGTGAGGCGATGTACTAAATATGAAAAATCCCGCCGATAATTGAATTGTCGTTTAAAAACCTATAAAGTGCTGCGTTTGACCATGTGATGATCGGTTAGAGATTGTTACACATTAATTTTTTAGTTTCGTTCTTATCTCTATATCTCAAATACTTTATAGCAATGTAGTATTTTACCAGTTTTTATTTTTATTGGCTATTCATAACTGATAAACCCGTTGGTAGATACCCAATCAGCATTCGTATACGTGTCAACAGAAATTATGAGAATTTAAGAATACGTCAGTTTGAAAATTTCGAGGAATTTTATAGAATTTTAAAATGGAATTAGAGTATAATCATTTTTTGATAGTGTTCCTGTGTTTATACAATAGTGCTAAGAGTCAGTCGATAAAGACTGATGTAAAAATTGATGCTAAAGAACTAAGATGTTTAGGTTAGGAAATTTTCGAATATTGTAAGACCTCTTATTTTCGAATTTTTATCATTTCAGTGTGCGAAACGAGCGTGCAAGAAGTAGCCAAGGCAATCAATAAGTTGGACCCTAACAAAAAAGTGGATGTAGGGGGCTACAGATTGGACATTGACGGAAATTACAATCACAAAGCTATTTCTGAGGCAAAGTCTGAGCTGGCTCTCTCTGAGATAATCGAAAATGTTTGCGAAAAGATGGATAACTATGTTCGAGCCACTTGGAAGTCAAATGGCACACTTACGCTCTTGAAAATGATCTCTGACGAGGGTACTATGAGCCCCAACTTTGGAGATGTTGATATCCTACAGGACGATGATTTGAATAAGAGTCTCAAGTATTATGTACGTTGACATTATCTCAGAAATTTATAGGCTTCACCACTCACAAAAAATCTAGCAAAAAATGCTTCCGTATGCTTGAAACGAGTAGTTTTAAATACTACAGTTAGCGTTGAATTTTATGCGATTTGAAGAAATAATAGATCATTTTGATGTTATGAACGTTTGGCTTTCATAATATCAGTATGAAGACATTCAAAACTGTTGATATTTTCAAGTAACAGTGAGATATCACAATCACATGTTACAAAACTGTTGATACTGAAATTTCCCTTATTCTACGTTTTTTCGAAATACTTTGAAGTTGTTATTACAGCTGATTAACGGAAACACAGATTTTTAAACAGATTTTTGAAAATGCCAGATTTTTCCAAACTGATCCCTTCACTACCAGTTTCTGAAACATTTTTTATCGACTGGTGCAGATAATTGATTACCTGAAAAGTATAGATTTAGAGGCAGGCAGCAAAAATTGATGACATTTCAAAATATTTTAAACTGTCAATTCTAATCAAAATTAAATATTTTGAGTAATCTCAATTAGGTCAAAAATTAAGTGTGTGATGAGAAAACCTTATATTTACATAGAAAATGACTTGGAGATGATGAATAAATTTCAAACAAGATTTCATTTTCAGCAAAAACCTTTTTTTAACATACAATAAATAACTCACCACCAAATGTGGATAATAATTTCAACAAAATTCATTTTGATGTGAAAACAATATAAATTGACTCCAATTTTAAACAAATTTTTGTGTCAATCTTTTGATTGGCTCAATTTCAGTTAAATTATTTACTTTGAGCAATCCCCTGAAAAAGCTAGAGAATTTAAATCATTCCAAAAGAATAAAATCAATGTTTATGATTTATATAAATAAACTTTAGATATGAGATTCATTTTCAAATAAGTTTTTTGTATATTCCATTATTCAGAGTTGTTCAAAATATGCATATCTATATAATAATTGAATTTTAACATTATTCATAATCATAATAATGATAATCGTTTATTTGGCACAAGACTACTTATAATGCACTGTTTGGAACCTTAGGTGTAGTAATGAATATTCATTTACAAGACTAATTCACAGCAAAAATACAATTATAAAAGGTCATTGGAATTGTAATTTTTAGTTAGTACATATAAAAAAATTTGACTTTTGTTTCAACTGGGCAGATGATGAATTATTTATAATCAATCAAATACAGTTTTCAAATATTGCAATATAATTTTTACCTAGAAATAATAGTTTATATTTTTTCTATTGTTTGTAGTGTGAAGAATTTATGGGAGAGTATGAAGAGGATCTGATAAAACTGTATCAAGAAGAACATGAAGATGTCCAAAAAGAATTTTGTGTGCTGCAAACCAAATTGTGTCCTTCCAAAAAGAAAGTTAAACAGGAACTATGATTTTGTTGAGTTTGATATTTTTTTCCACTGTATGCATTTTTATAAAAAAGTTATTTGTTAAGAATAAAAAATATTTTTTCTATCGTTACATTTATTTTTTATGTTTTTGCCAGAATCTGACCTGCTTGTTTGCTTAACTATTTTTGAGAATAGGAATTTTTTCATGTTTATTTAAATATATTAGTCACCGTTCGAGTTTAATCGGGGAGAGCTGTCAGTCGAAGAGACATGACTGGACAAATTTGATACGTTGATAATTTTTTTCGTTTTCAGACGGTTTACATCATTTGCATATTGAAAATTGTCTAAAGTTTCAATTTTTTCATACTGCACAAATAGTACTTATCAACTATATGATCTTCATATTTCACGATGGGTTAATTTTATCTCAAATTAAGAATGTCATGTCAGTTTGTGGGCTAATATCGAAAGCACAAATGAATGACGTATAAGCATTCTTTCGTCGTTGTAGTTGTACATTTAAAAAATTAAAACATTGGGTTAGTTAGCCTTGAAAATTCTAGCCAATAAAATAATGCCAGGAAAAAAAGAAGAAGAAGAGGAAAACAGTTGTTTTTTATTTTGCTTGTTTTGAATTACATGTTAGCGGTTAATTGATGATTTTTTGTATATTATAAACATTTTATTTCATTTTTGTGTAAATATATACTAATTTCTCACGTCCATCATGAGTGTTAGCGCTGCCTCAGTCGCTTCAACAAACACTCAAGACGAGGAGGTAGAAGAATGTGGACCACAGCCTTTAGCAAAATTAGAGGTAAGTTCTCTTACTTTTAGTCTAAAAATATGATAATGAAAATCCTTTATAACGTATTCAAAAAAACTCACTTTAATGTTAGTTTTCCTCTTGAAAATTTACGAAACTGCCTCGCCTCGCAGTAATATTCAAGTAATGAATATATAGTCACAAACTATTATTAAATTTTGCTAAATCTTAGTTCATGTGAATTAAAAAAAAATCCAGTATGATTCGGTCGAAAAATCCTCTCAAATTCAGTAATAACTAATAGTTTAAGCAAAAACATTTTTGTAGGGCAATGGAATCACTTCAGGAGACATAAAAAAGTTGGAGGAAGCAGGTTATCACACTGTAGAGTCTGTGGCATTCGCCCCCAAAAAGTACCTGATGTCCATAAAAGGCATATCAGAGGCGAAAGCTGATAAAGTTTTAGCGGAAGCTGCCAAGTTGGTTCCTATGGGTTTCACTACTGCCACTGAATTTCACCAAAAGAGGTCGGAAATCATTCAGCTGACCACTGGGTCAAAAGAGTTAGATAAACTGCTGGGAGGCGGGATAGAAACCGGATCTATTACTGAAATATTCGGAGAATTTCGAACTGGAAAAACTCAGTTGTGCCATACACTAGCTGTTACTTGTCAGGTACACAATTTCAGATATCTTTAATTAGTAAACGAGAAACTATTCTCAGTTCAAAGAATTGTTCTACAATAAAAGTACTCACCTTGAAACACAGCTTGAAATCTAGTTAACTCAGAGACACATTTTGACTAAAAAATTATTGTATCATTGTACAGAGCATGAAATTGTTAAGGACGACTTACCTTTTTGCAGCTGCCCATTGAAAGTGGTGGAGGCGAGGGCAAATGTTTATACGTAGATACAGAGGGAACATTTCGACCCGAAAGACTGTTAGCTGTAGCGGAACGTTACCAAATGAACGGACAGGATGTTCTTGATAACGTGGCCTATGCCAGAGCTTACAACACAGACCACCAGACTACTTTACTTATTCAAGCTTCTGCTATGATGGCTGAATCTAGGTGAGAACTATCCCAGAAATTTCAGTATCAGAGACGCTTAACTTGAAATGTTATTGTTTTAGGTATGCTTTATTGATAGTAGACAGTGCCATGGCACTTTATAGAACAGACTATTCTGGTAGAGGGGAATTATCAGCAAGACAAATGCATTTGGCCCGATTTTTAAGGATGTTGCTGCGATTAGCAGATGAGGTAAGATTATATAATTATATATGTATTTCTATTGAAATACTGTGTATGTGTGTTACCTATATCAAGAACCCAAAGAATGGTGAGCAGGACATATCAATACGTTATCAGTTTGGAACCCCCCCTCCGTATTGTCAAAAACAAAATTAACAAAAGATGAGAAAACTAAGTGAACATATAAATATTTACTGCCAAAGTGCTGGAGGAATATGGTCCATAATGCAAGATATTATAAACTTTGTACTGTACTGCACCTCTTCTGTTCAACATCTTTGTTAATGACATTACAGAATGTTTTCAAATTCAAACTCTGCAATGTTCGTAGATGATCTTGAAATTTTCAAACTAATAAAATCATCACACCAAACATCAAACATGAAGTATAGGTGTATAAAATATAAATGATTAAAATAAAATATAAACTGTATATACATAAATATCCAAAGGTTACATGACAAGAACTAGGACAACGAATAAAAATATTTTTTCCACACACAGCACAGTCACAATTTCCACACATTCTAAATAACAGGACATCGTCAAAATATTCTTGTAGGTCATAATAGGCTTTATCACTTAATAGTTTTGTACATTTCTTTCTGAATATGATGAAAGGAATCTCTTCGATTCCATTGGGAAGTTTATTGTATATCCTGATTCCATTATATCCACGAGTTTTGAACCAAACATGTTTTTGGAATTGGTAGACTCAGTTTATTTTACAGACTTGTGTGGTCTGTGGCTGTAGCTGTAGATTCATAGTTCTCCCTATTTTTATGTATAATTGACACGGTTTCCAATATAAATATTGAAATAACAGTGAGGATTCTATATTCTCGAAAAAGGGTTTTACATGAATCCCGCCATTCCGCTTTACATAAGTACCTAATTACATAAGAACAAACGAATATATGATTCCCCTTCATGGACTAACAGCAACTTAAAAAAGCGCCCACTATATGTCAATCAAGCTTTTTGATCATCTTCCTAACAGAATAAAACAGACTAAAAAAATTGGAGTTTTCAAAAGAGAACTAAAAAAACTCATAGACTTAGAGCCCTAAGATTTTAACGTACATCTCACTGGAACATTCATTTAAAAAATCTCCTTGTTTGACGCCATTTCATTTTATGTTACCGACCTTTTGCAATAAAAGTTTGTAATCTACTCCAAAATAAAGCTGTTTATTATTATGAAGAACACCTAGTATTTTTATGAACTTCAGAGAATTTTTGCCTGCTCTTCAGGTTATTTCATTATTCATAAATTTTTCTGTCATCCAGTTTGGAGTAGCTGTCGTGATCACAAATCAAGTTGTAGCCCAAGTCGACGGAGCCGCCATGTTCAACGCTGACCCCAAGAAACCTATCGGCGGAAACATCATGGCGCACGCTTCCACAACCAGATTATACCTCAGGAAAGGCAGAGGGGAAACTCGAATGTGCAAAATTTACGACTCGCCTTGCTTGCCAGAATCCGAAGCGATGTTCGCCATCAATCCAGATGGCATAGGAGATGCCAAGGAATAAGTTCCGCAAGGAACACAAACTCTGTTTGTATTATTTTTGTTGTAGAAATAAGTGAAGGATGTGCTGCTGCAGTTTTGAGGTATTTTCCATTTTCTTCCATATTTTTGAGGTTATATGTGGGTTTTGTGTTGACAGTTTTTTGGGTTAGGTAAGTGTTCTGACATGTGACAAGAGAACTTGTCAGAATTATAGTGTTTTATGGCAGAGAACTTTAAATACTAACACTATGTTTTATGATTGATTTTAAAAAATAGGTTTTATGGTATATTGAAGATTTGAATTTATAGTCACGACATTAATAATCAATTATGTTTGTTTAATACACAAATATTAGTTTTCAGTGAAGATAAATATCAAAGAACTTTTTGTATATATAAAATGCTTTGCAAATAGTTCTAGGCAAAGCTTCTTTAGGTGAATAGTAACGGCTGAAAAACATGTTTTCTATATAGTTGAAAAGGAATTTTACCCTACAAGGGAAACCAGAGAATGGTCCCAAGAATGTTTTGGAAATACCCTCTTATCGAAGCATCACGTTAACTTTGAATCCAATTCAAAATCAGTAGTCATATAGAAATGTTGTCAGGTTCTAAGAATATGGTGTAAGTTGATTTGAAGATTAAATTTTAAGTGATTTTGAAAACAACTTCCGGTGATGTTCTCTATTCCTGAAGTTGCTTTCTTCAAAAGAAATGTATAGTTTTGACAAACCCACTTCGAACCTGTAACAGTAAATTTATCATATATTTTAATTTTTACAGAAGAAATAATGTTGTTTAACAAGGTTGATTACTCCAAAAATTATAACAATGACTGGTTCATGTGAAGGCGAGGTTGACCTATTTTCAAAACCAGCAGCATAATTTAAATTATATTCCTCTTATACAAAAGCAAAAAATAATAATTCGAAAATCCAAAGCCATAAAGCAAATAAAACCATTACTTCAATGCTACGAACACTTTTTTGCCAGTTTAATTTACTAGAGCAGCTAAAACGTATAACCAAATTCAACTTTTATCATAAGACAACGTTGGGGACCAGTTTTTTCTGTGCTAAATATTAAGAAATGTTGATTCATTCATTTTATAATCAATTTCACGTGGTTTCTTTAAAAAGTCAAACTAACCATTCGGTAAGACAAAACATTTTTACCCTACCTTGTACTTCATTTCAACCAATTATTTATTTTATTACCAAATCTCAAAATCATCATATGTATTAACATTAAAATTCAATATCAAAAACTTTTTGGTAGGAAATGTACAACAATTTTGATAAAAAAAAACATTCATTTATTACTTCACCACAACTACTTTTATCAATTGCTATTTATAGAAACCAAAACCAAACTCAAAAAAGACTAAACTTTTCAATATGTTAACAAAAACTGTTGAAAGGAGATGCATAACTATTTTATTACTAATAGTGCTTCAAATTTAGATAAAATACAAAACCATTCCTTAATTACACCATCAAAGCTATTTTTATCAACTGCTTTTTTAAGAATAGAAACCAAACTCAAAAATTAAACTGTTGAATTTGTTGACAAAAACTGTTGATTTTACTTCATTCTGTTGGAAAGATATGTTCAACTGTTTATTTTACAATACTGATTCAAATTTAGATGAAAACCAAAACAACCATTTATTCATTGCATTACCAAAACTATTTCTATTAGCTGCCTTTTTTTAGAAATGTACTCTGAACTCAAAGATCAAACTATTGAAATTGTTAACAAAAACTGTTGATTTTATTTCATTCTGTTGTAAGATGTTCAACCCTTTATTTTATTATCGATACTTTTTATGGTAACTATTTTCTTACAGAAACAGGTGAACCAATAAAAATTGTAAGTCTTATGTAAATGAAAATATCATTTGTTTCCAAGCAGATGTTAAACGGTCTTTAATTATTACCAATAATTTGTTATTCTTTTGCCTTGTTACCAAATTTGTACATACAATTATAAGAGTATGTTGAAAGTCAAACCATTGAATTTCCAAACAAAAACGGTTGACTCTATTTTATTCTGTTTACAGTATACTTTTTTTATATTTCAAAAATAACCGCATCAACTGCAATACCTGTGTAACAGGGAATGTTGAATGGTCTACAGTATTTACAAATTTCACTTTTGATATTCACTGTATTCATGAATTTCTGGAGATCAAACCATTTTTCGAGTTTTTTTGACTGATGGAAACAAAAAGTTATAATTTCTTCTCTTTCTCTTCTATTCTATGAATGTATTATTACTATTATGATATGTATATATTTTCTATATTCAACACTTTCATCCCTGTCCTGTAATTGGGTCTAGTGCCTGTTTGAACAATAAAAGTGTTTTTTTTCGCAAATCTGCCGGTAGATCAGAAGTTGAATTATTGGTTTCATTAACAACAAAACCAGTTCATTTAACTGACCATTTATTTAGTAGAAGAAAAAGGCACACCCAACCTTTTAAACCACTTACTTGTTGAACTTGATTTGACAAATCTAAGACATTTCCAGTTATTTTGAGTTTTCCCTTCATGAAGGCGGTCTGCGGGTTGAGTTTGCCTTCCGACATTAGCATGAAGTCTTCATCAGAGATGGTCAACGTGGTGTTGGGTTTTCCCTCAGGCTTTCCCTCATGAACTTTGGCGTTTTTCAAATCCATCGCTACAAAAAAAATTGGTTAGTACGAATCTTCCGAAAAACGAAACCAGAAGTATTTTGGAATACTTTTTTTTGAAAAAAAGACTTACTCCACTGTTTGGCCTGTTTGCCATTTTTGGTGATGTTGTACAGGAACACTCCGCCAATGGATTTTGCTCTTTTGGGGTCGGCATTCATTTTTCGTTAGAGTATACGAACATGGAAGGGTTAGTATTTGAAGATTCTTGAATAAAGGTTTACATGTTGTTGTTGGATGGGCATCCTTTTTTAAGATGCAAATGTCCTTTCAAAGTGACAAGATTATCCCCAAAAAATCATGTCATATTGTAGAGTAGACTGAACCATCCCAAAAAATAATAGTTTCAGGATGTCTGCTGATACACTATCTCACAGATTTATTATATAGCATGTAGTGCTTACTTTTGAACACACAGTGTTTATATGTGCTTTCCATGTTACCTTACTATCCAAAGTAACACCTAAGAACTTAATGGTTTCCATAGATCGTATAGATTTAACAGATAAGGTTAATTATAGGTCATAATTTGGATTTATGTTTTTCAAACTTGTTCGATTGATGACCTATTTATTTTGTAGAAATTCATATCGAATATTCTACTTGGTTTATTATTTGTTACGACCTTTTGGTTTATTAGACCATTAGACTTAAAAATGGTGTAATAAACTGAAAGTAGAAATTAGACAAAAGTTATTTTCCTCATCCTATATTTATTTTTTTGGCAAAAACCGGGTAAAACTTTTTTTTGACTATTCAGGATGAGGCCATTTTCAATGCTATATCCTTCTATTTCATAGATGCCTTGTTGCTTAATTTTTTTAATTGGTCAATGTTAGTATGTGACATTAGAATATTAGCGTCATCGGCATATATTATCATTTGATTTGCAGAAAGGTTATAAACAATAATGGTCCCAAGATTAAACTCTGTGGACTCCCTATATTTATTATTCTCTAACTTTTGTTCACAGACAAACTGAGAACATAGAAATATTTATGAAAACATGTGAAAAGAAAGCTAGAAGCGATTATACTACATTGCCATCCAGTAGAAAATGGAAAACTTCTATCAATACCAAAGCCTATAATGTATATGTTTTTCACAATCCTAGATAATTATTTCGAAATAATCATTTCTCCTAACTACAGCAGCAGCAGAATGAAGTAAATGTTTCTCTCACCATGCATATTTGAAAGAAAGAAGAGTCGAAGCAGCAATAATCCACTTATTACTTCTAGCTGAAGCCTACGATTGCCTAAATAGTTTTAGGACATAAACTGCATCTATACTTATTCGTTTGCATATTTTCTGTGCTGTTGATAGCAGATATTAATCAACTAATCTGGTTTAAATATACTGGACATCATGCCGTTAATATACATAATTGGTAGAAAATAAAACCTATGCAAGAAATTCGCTACTGAATTCTCTAATGTATTCCGCAACAAAATTGTAAAACTTCAAATAACCAAACTTTGCATACCTGTGCATAACACTGACGAAACTACAAATGAAACGAAAGTGATATCAAGTAGTATTTTTCATCAAAGTAACATCCTTATCTATAAGTGCTCCTAGATAAAGTTCAATTTCTTTATCATATGTATTGTCTACAAGGTCATTCTGAAATGAAATAACCTGACGAAACTTTGCATACCTGTGCATAACACTGACGAAACTACAAATGAAACGAAAGTGAAATCAAGTAGTATTTTTCAGCAAAGTAACATCCTTATCTATAAGTGCTCCTAGATAAAGTTCAATTTCTTTATCATATGTATTGTCTACAAGGTCATTCTGAAATGATAAAACCTGACGAAAACTTGGTAGAAATCAATAAAATAATTTTTGTAATAGTCTTCCTCACAAAATGAAATAACCTTAAAAATTTAGGTACCCCAAAATCATAGAGAAGCTGGTGAAAACATGATCAGTATCTTTTGTNAATCAAAACTATCTAGTGTTGAAGCTGAAGTTAAAGTTCATTCGCTGTTGGAATAATCTTATCATATCCTCAAGAACCCACAGAGAAAAAAATCAAAACTATCTGGCATTTCAAAATGCTGGATTCTATAAAATATGATCAACAAAGATTAAATAAAGTACCAACAATGTTCAAGTACTTTTCAGATAACTACGCAATTATTTCGAAATTGACCTTTATAAAATCCACACTCATGATGAAAACGTGAATAAAACCATAAGGTTTCCAAAGTCCAACAAAAAAAAATTAATTTCACGTCAGCTGCGGCTCAGCTATAATCAAAATGTATAAGTTATAGGTTAAGACAACAGAAATTTTGACAATCAAATACATACTTTCACTGTAGGAAACGTAACACTTGTGTAAAAGTCACTTTCCTTTTTATATTTAAACATTAACTTATGAATTTGACATAAAGAAATTCAATGAAAACGTGACACAATAAACAAAATGAGTAAAAAACTCTACCTTTTTAAATTTTCAAGCCACGAATATCGGACGTGTATGCACAACTGGATAGCGAAAACTCCAAATGATCCTACATTAAAAGTAAGTATGTAATAAATATTTATCTAATCAATTTTAAATGACCCGACAATGCCAACGGTGACGAAGAAAACCGACGAAATCGAACGAGGCCTTGACTTTTCTAACCCTCTCACTTCATCGGCGTTGCCAGGTGTACTAAAAAGCATTGGATTTGATATTTATTAGACCTTGTCTAGAAACAACATCTCACAAACAAAAATGCGCTAGTCACCATACACTTGTCGAATTTTGTGATTTTATTTTTCAAAAAAAAAGGTAAGAACAGACGTTTCGGAGGACAAAATCTGTCTTTGTCTTCAGAAAGGAAAAAATGAATCATAACTAAAGTTATTTATGTACATACAGGGTGGACCATCGAAAACTTGACATGGAGGTTTTGGGTACTAATCTTGCAAATTCTAAAGAACGCTCAGACAGGTCGATTTTTATTGGGAGGGGGACAGTTTTTTACCCCATTTACAGCGTCGTCACTTCAACATCGGAGCAGAGGAGTGTACAACCCTTGGAATTTTAATAGGGAACTGGGGGCAAGTAGCACATCGTTTGAAAGATCTTGGAATTCTCTAAACAACGATATACATTTTTTTAAATTTGGACGAACCATAATAAATTTAGAGTTGAAGTTAATTTCTTTATTCTCATGTTAGCATGTGCTCAAAATGGGCACCTCCAGCAGAGCTTCCACGCAATAATAGAGATTCTATTGGAAACGTTTTCAAACATTGTGGAGCATTTCTGTAGTGATTTGGCGACATTCATTTGTGATTCGTTGCCGTAAATCTTTGAGTGATGCAGGAGGAGTACAGTAAATTCTGCTTTCCAAATGACCCCACAGAAAGAAATCTAACGGCGAAAAGTCTGGTGATCGTGGTGGCCATTCGATAGTGCCCCGCCTCCCAATTCATTGATTCGGAAAAGTCTGATCTAAATACTTCTGAACAGGCAGAGCATAGTGCGGAGGAGCCCCATCTTGTTGAAATATAAACAGATCCTCCCGATAATTGTGGTCATTTTCAATAATATCAGAAGGG